TGCAGAGGCTGTTACAGCCTGCCTGCTCGTTTGCGCCTCCCTGTGGCTGTTCTTGGTGCTGCCCCCGCAGACGCTCCTCAACCTCTTTGGTCTCTACACTTTACAGTCTATATTCTGTGAAGCGCTTTGAGACGTCTCGACAATGTAATAAGGCGCTATATCAAATGCAAGGATTATTATTATCATTATTTTCAATGGGAGTGAGAATGCAGACAACAAAATGGCCTCCTCCTGCTCCTGACTTCCTGTGGTGCTCGTTTGACCACTGATCTCTTGACACATGACCCCGAGAGTTGAAGCACACTGTCCATTCCCCTCGCTGTCGTCTCTTTACTGGGGGGCTCACCCAGAATTTACCCTTTAGCTTCGTTGTTGGCAGCTAAATTTCCTTCAGAAGATTATTCTGAAATTCTATTTTTCGAATAGCACTGTGGGATCTTTAACACTCAGCGAACAGGCAGATGGAATCTGGGTTTAACGTCTCTCCCAAAGGTTGGCACCTCCGGTATTTCAGAGTTTTCCTCGCACTGAACTGGAGAGTGTCAGCCTGGACTGGGAGATAAGATGATGCCGAGGTGGGAAGCATCTCTAAGCAATGTTCAGGCTGGGAGAGTGGGGTTAATGGGGGCTAATGTGCATTGGTGCTCACTGATCTGATATGTCAGTAACGGACAGCTGTCTCTGTGCGGCTGTCAGTGTATGCAGGGCTGATTGGTAACCAAATCCTATTTTAACAGGTAAAGTGCACCCCAGGAGAGTGTCCGCAACAGACTCCGATTTCCCCGAGTCAGCGCAGTCCTGCAAGCGATATTCAAAAGAGCGAGGCATTTACCACGTGCACGTAGGAAACTTGAGTGAGTGAAAATCGGAAGTAGTCACAGGGGACATGCGGGTGAAAAAGACCTTTTGACCCGTTTGGTCTCATCTTCCCAGAATACCCACCCCCACACGCCTGCCATTGCAGCCAATTTGCGCAAAGCAACATCGCACAAACAGCCATGAAGTGAATGACCAATTTTACCTGGAGGGGGTGGAATTCTTTGTCAGGATAACGGGAGTGGGAAACTTCTTTTTGAATAGTGCCACGGATCTTTAACGTCCGCCTCACAAGAGTGCTACCAACCATGCAAGGCTCACCCAGCTAAATGTCGTTGGGGTGGACACCCAATGGGGAGGGGAAAGAGAGAAGACGCCTTGGTGTTTTCGATGTGATTAAGTATCACGTAGACTGCAAATAAAAGCCCGATGTGCATTTTGCCAATTGTTATTTTAAGGGTTTGTTATATCAGTTGTGGAAATCGCTGGGATTATAAATGTAACTGAGCCAACACTGTGAGATAATTTCTCAAAGGGTTCTAAATCACAGGGAATCTTTACAGTCGTAAATCCCATTAAGAAGACTCAGTGACAGACATCCCTATATTTAGTAACAAAACCAGATGTGGCTGGGAACACTCAGCAGGTCAGGCCACATCTATGGAAAATGACCCTTCGTCCACGACCATTCTGAGGAAGGGTCATGGACCCCGAAACTTTGACTCACTTTCCTTTCTCCATAGATGCGTCCTGATCTGTTGAGTGTTCCCAGCGACTTCTGTTTCTGTTTTCAGATTTCCCGCATCTGCAGTATTTTGTGTTTTGTTCACTGCCATGAATTGCATTCCAGATTTCTTGTACCAACAAGAACAATAAGAACAACAAAATTGCATTTGTACAGCGCCTTTCACGTCGGGAGGATGTCCCAAGGCCCTGGACAGTCAGCGTTTCAGACCCGAGCTGGGTGTTGGGATTGGGGAGGGTGGAAGGCGGGTGGGGGGAAGCAGGGTGATTGAAAGTACGGTCGAAGAGGAGGGTCTTGAGCTGGGTCTTGAAGGAGGCAAAGGAGGGGGTGAGGCGGAGGGAATGCGGGATGGAGTCCCAGACGGTGGGGGCAGAGTGGCAGAAGGCCCACCAACCAATGGTGGGGCGGGCGAAGCGGGGGAGATGAAGTAGGCCGGAGCGCGCTGAGCGGAGGGAGTGGGCAGGATGGTAAGGGGTGAGGAGGTCGTAGAGGTACGGGGGAGCAAGACCATGGAGGGCATTGAAGGTGAGGACCAGGATTTTGAACTGTTTCCTCTGGGTGATGTGAAGCCAGTGGAGAACCAGGTCAATCAAGTCCTACCGCCTCCACAAGGTGTCAGTCTAACTCAGTCAGTCATACTCCCAAAATCCTAGACTGTAAAGTGCTGCCTCAAATGTAAAGATAATTATTATTTATCATTTATTGTCAAAGCTAAGTCTCGCTTCGATGGAGATTCCCCACATCTTATGTCTTTATTCTGTTAGAAATCCTGCATTTTAGTCCTAACCCAAAGTAACAGGAGATGAATATGTTGAAGTGACTGATATTAGGGGGAGAACTGGTGCAGACTTGATGGGCTGAATGGCTTTCTTCTGAGCTTTTCTATGATTCTACATGAATTCCCAGTACTGACTGGTAGCACCTGCATTTGACAGAGAGCCTTATCACATTCATCAGATCTCCCAGCACTGATCAGCGAGGCCTGTACCTGCTTGAAATCCCGCTGCTTCCAAGTTGACTGCTGCGGTTGGCATTCTATCGCAGAATCGGGGTCTAACTTGAGCTGTTTCTTAACGGATTTCTTGTCGGCAGGGAAAGGGACAAACAGCTGCCCTGCGTTTGGCTTGCAGAAATGAAATGAGTAGTTTTCACGATCATTTATAATTTCTGTTGGAGAGCCCGATGGTGAATTTACAGTAATTCCTGTGTCAAAAAAAGACGCCCACATGCATGCCAGGTTACAAGTGGAGCGTGACCATTTTGCGTTATTTGGCAGTTTTTCAAATGTATTCATTATGTGCAAACGCATTAATTTGAACAGAGACCTATTTGTGCTAAGTAATTGTCCGTCTACGTAATTGCTGCTTTAAACACCAGGGTCCACGGGACAATGTTCAAATTGATTTCTCATTAACGATATTGCCTTGTCGTAATCAAATTCCCTCCATGATTCGCTCAGAAAGTTTTTTTTTCCCCCATGTTGGTTGATGACTGGTCCTGTGTTGGGTCAGGCTTCGCTCTGTGAATTCCAGGTATTCTGGGCCAGAAGATTGGGTGTTCAAGCCCTTAAGTCAGGACTTTGAGCTCACTCTGGGCTGTGATGGTTTAATGTTGCAAATGGTAGAGGAAGAATGAGATCAAATCAGCCCAACTTCTCCTGCGATCTTGTGGGCCCTGACATTTTGCTGTAAAAATTTAAGATTGGGCCAATATTCTGACTTAATTCTGAAGCTGGTTTCTGCAGAAAACTAGTTTCTGGATTAAGACTAGATTTAAGAGTTTTCCAGAATTGTACGTCACCTTAAATTTGATTGGAGAAACACCTCGCAGGCTAAGACTGAGTAGAATTTCAGGTCTCAGCTTTCAGAGATCAAAGGTCGGTGTGTTTAATCCAGTCCACCACACCCAGCCCTCTCCCACTCCCCCACCGCCCCCACCCCGCGACCCACTTGTACAATATAAATATGACACTGTAAATCCTTGTAACGCACAATCCCTATTGTTGATACTCCTTTATGAACTCCTGTGAGTGTTGACAGCTCTGCGAGGAGTAGCTCGGTATTTTAGTGTGTTCTGTCCATCAGCTGCTCAATGATATATTACCGTGCGTGTCCCAAGTGATTGTCATTGAACTCATTTTAACTTTTGCTGTGGAGAGAAAAAATAAATCACAAAAGTAATAACCAATTTATCAGTGGAACGATGGTAAACAGTGTGTAGAAGGTGTGTGGAACAAGTGTCTGACATGGCAATATGAGTCATGTGTTACTTGCACTGTCAGCCTGACTTATTGGGAGCTGCATTGTCGGAGGTGACATCCTTTGGATGAGACGTTAGACCGAGGTTCCGTTAGTGCCTGTTCAGGCAAATGCTACTCGAAAAGAGAAGGGAGTGTCCGTCTCCTGGCGTCCTGGCCAACAATCTGCCAGGTAAGATCGGTCATTCACTGGATGAATGACCAATGTTTGTGGGACGTTGCTGTGCGCAAATTGGCTGCCAGGTTCGCCTGTAAAAACACGCAGTCACTACACTGCACAGTAAAATCCTCGAAAGACTTTGAGATGTCTTGACGACTTGGCCAAGGTGTTGTGTCGGAATGCCAGGATTCTTCTTCTTAATGGTAAATAAGGTCTTAATCAGGACGTCGGGTTGCATTGCAGTTCGTAACAGCTTCCAAATTCAGACCGAAATGAAGAATTTTCCACAATTCTGCGCTGCCTTAAATTTCACCACCAAATGGTCCCACGGGATGAGACTAGGTGGAATTTGGGGCCTCTGGAGAGGGGAGGAGGAGTTTAAGGGAAAGAAAAAGTAGAATGGAGGGGGAAGGGGGAAGGAGAAACGATTAGAGCCGTGCATGATTCTGTGTTTGAGCTTCTTGCTTCTAATGGTGTGCGTAACCATGGAGACACTCCTGCGTTAACGTTTCATCCTTTGCACAGTCGTTGCGGAGACTTCCAAATGGTCGAACCATTCCCGGTGCTGTCGATGGCTAGCTCTAGGAGCAAAAGGGGTTAAACTTGCGGTGTTTCTCAAAGCGTTCCTTAAATTAAGTTGAGATGCCCCAAGGATCCATTTAATTTGTCCCTCATTATGTTGGGCCGTTCAGCCTTGAGTGCAGCACTGCGAGTGCGTGCAGCGTTGGCAGATTGTTTGCTAAACTGAGGTCAAAAGATTTCAAGGAGCTCAGTCTTGTTGGTGCTGTTACCTTATTTTTTGAGGGGTTTGGCAGAACAGCCTTTGAGAATTGTATGTGTGTGTGTGTGTGTGTACACTGTCTTTGACAAGCTCTGAATTAAGCTCTGGTCAGCGTAAGGGCTGACCCTTACGTTAGATCTAGTAAAGTGACGGTGTGCAGGTTTGATGGGCTGAATGGCCTCCTCCTGTTCCTGTGAGTTGTTTTTCTTTTTAACGCTGTTTTATTGACTTATAACCACAGAGGCTGGTAAGATCCTGTCTACGTGCACTGCACACCCATGGATGGGACGAACGAGGTCGACGTTACTTCCGCTGCCCTGCTACGGGAGGACAATCGATCCTAGGATGCCTTTGCCTGTGGGCTGCGCCGCACACAGTCTGCCACACATCCTGTCCGATGGGAGCGCCGCGATCCACGATGATTGAGAGCCGGGAGGAGCAGAGCTTGTACAACAATGCATTGGCTTGGCTCATCTGTTCAGGCATCTCTCTGCTGGCCAACACCTGGGGGATACTTAGCATCAGCGCCAAGCAGAAGAAATGGAAGCCTCTCGAGTTCCTGATCTGCACGTTGGCTGGGACACACATCCTCAACGTGGGCATCCCCATCACCATGTACTCAGTCATCCAACTCAGGAGACAGCACTCCGATTACGAGTGGAACGAGGGTCTGTGCAAAGTCTTCGTCTCAACCTTCTACACCTTGACCCTCGTGACGTGCTTCTCTGTCACCTCCCTGTCCTACCACCGCATGTGGATGGTCAGATGGCCGGTCAACTACAGGTATGGATGACCACAACAACAACAACGATGACTGCAAATTATATTTATGCAGCGGACAAAGAGGAGGGTCTTGAGTCAGGTCTTGAGGGAGGCAAGGGAAGGGACGAGGCGAAGGGACTGTGGCTCGGGTTCCAAAGGGCGGGGGGCAGAAAGGCTGAAGGCCCGACCGCCGATGGTGGGGGTCACGGAGCAGGCCGGAGCCCGCTGAGCAGAGGGAGCGGACGGACTGCATGTGGCTCAGAAACACGATCAAACTCCAGCTCTGTTATCTTCCACTGCAATAATAATTCCACTGCGCCGGCTGCGTTGTTGGATGCTCTGTGCTTTGGATGAGATGTTACCCGAGGTTCGGCTGTGCCTGTTTTAGGACAGACGTTAAAGATCCCGTGGGCACTATTTGAAAAGAGGAAGGACTTTCTCGCTCCCAGTGTCCTGACCGCCAATTCCGCGGATAAAATTGGTCATTCATTTCATGGCTGTCTGCTGTACTTTGCTGGGCGCAAATCGCCTGCCTATAAAATCCAGTCACAGCACAAAATCCTGTGCAGCGCTTTGAGACATTTGGATGGCGTGACAAGGTGTTATGTCAAATGCAATGATTGTTAAGCATAATTATAATTCCTTATATGCGCCTATGGGCTCAAAATTGCAGTGTTCCTAAACATATTCCTTATTTAAGGAACGATGCGTGTTTATGTTCCCCTATATCTACATGGCTCTATTTACCCTTCATCCCCACCACGGCTTTTGCAGGCTTGGCTTTGCTGGGGGTGTTTTTAAGTCCTGTTAAAATTGGATTTGGCCTGTTTCTCTCCTGGCTGTTACAAGCTCGCTAATTAGCTGCCTAGGAAAGGTCCATTTATATTTGATGAGCTAAACTGAACCGTTAATAACGAAATGGGGAATGTGTAGATTTTATGAATAAATTGTATTTTCAAATTTGTTTAGAGATATCCATTAATGCCAAACCCCGACCCTCACGTTCAATCAAGAGTAACTAATTGATTTGTTAGCTGGGAAAATGAAGTCCGTGAGAATAAAGATGGGATGAAGTAAACAAAAATATTAGAAGGAACTGACGAAGGAAAAAGAGTTGCCAACCAGAGGGCTTGATCCATATATCAATAATAATCAATGATGATAATCCTTGCATTTGATACAGAGCAAAGAATGTTTCAAAGCGTTTCACAGTGCATCATTGCCACCGGGAGTGACTGTATTTGTGAACAATTACCATAGCTAATTACAACCAGAAAGTTATCTCCATCCAAAGTGTTCAGACTGTAACTGGTGCTGTCCTTTGGATGAGATGTTAGGACAAGATCCAGTCTGCCTGTGAACTGACTGACTAACCCCGAAGATGGCTGTTCGGGGAACCTCTGTGTGAACGGAGATGGCCGGTCCATTTGCTCGCCAGTAATTCCCTGTGAAGCGCTCCGAGACATTTCAACACAACAGGCGCTCTGTCCGGCATACGGGAGGACGAGCGATGCCGAGGCATATCCCAGGATCGCTAAGCTAAGCTCTGACTGTGCTCTCCACAGATGCTGCCTGACCCGCTGCGTGTTCCCAGCGTCTTCTGTTGTTACTTCGTTATTATTACGCGCAGTTGGGCTGCCGCGTTTTGCCCGCAAAATACGCAATCAGTTCACTTCGCGGTATATGCCGTGAAGCTCTTTGATACGCCTCGAAGACGTGATGGGGCGCCGTATCAAACGCGATGATTATTAATTTTTTTAAAAATTATTGTTTCTAACCGCACTTGCACTGCGATTGCAGGCTGAGCAACACCAAGAAGCAAGCTGTGCACACGGTGATGGGGATCTGGATGGTGTCCTTCATACTGTCCACGCTGCCCGCGGTCGGCTGGCACGACACGACGGAACGTTTCTACGCCAGGGACTGTCGTTTTATCGTGACGGAGATCGGCCTGGGTTTCGGCGTGTGCTTCCTGCTCCTGATCAGCGGCAGCGTGGTGATGGGGGTGGTCTGCATCGGGATAACCCTCTTCCAGACCTTCTCCATGAAAGCCGCCCACAACGCCGACAAGAACAAATTCAACGTGCCCACCATTGTGGTGGAGGACGCGCAGGGCAAGCGCAGGTCATCCATTGATGGCTCCGAACCGATTAAAACCTCTTTGCAAATAACCTACCTGATCAGCGGAATAGTCTTCATCTATGACTTTTTGGCTGGATTTCCTGTGTTGGTAAGTCAAGCACTGTTACCCCTTTTTTTAATCCCATGTGAAATGCTACGATATAGTATGATATAATATGATAGAATATATAACATAATATTCTAACATAATAATCCTTTGCATTTGATAGAGCGCCTCTTCACCTCGTTGGGACGTCTCAAAGCGCTTCACAGAATGAGCTGTAAAGTGAATTGACTGTATTTTGCGGGTGAATTGCGGCAGTCAATTGTGCACAGCAGCGTCCCCACAAACAGTCGTGGATTGAGTGATCAAACTATTATTTTTTTTAAAAAGAACTGAAGGGATTATTACACCCAGAAAGTGATTTGCCAATCGATTAACAACCGGGTTCCTACTGACTGCTAGGTAAACAGAGGCGTGTGGCATAAGGAAACTCGCCTAAGGTTTCACCCTGCCCGGGAATCGAACCCGGATCCACTCGCTCATGAGGCGAGTGCTCTGACCGATTCGCAACGGAACTACTTAGTACCGTAAAGATCCCCCGCTACCTGGCCAACAGCCCTCAGGCCAAAAGGACCTTTCATCTCATCGCCTGGCCACTACACTTTACAGTAAATCCTGCAAAGTGCTTTGAGAGTTTGGATGATGTGATGAGGTGCTACATCAAGTACAAGGATTATTTATTTTATGGTCATATAAAAGGACGTTTTTCAAATTACGACTTCATCTTTTAACATTTTCTACAGTTCTGTGTCGCAACGAATTTCAAAACCAGATGGCCTTAAACGAACCCTAAGATCTAGTTGGGGGTTTCGGGCCTAGCGAGGCCTGGTAAACCGGCCAACTTTCCCTAAGGCTTCCTTCCCCACCTGAGTCTCAGACTTGACCTCCTTACCCTATATCAGACTGTTCTCTCCCTCTGCTTGGTGGACACCGGGCCTGGTTCAGGTCCCCTGCACTTCCCGCCCCACCATTGGCGGTTGGGAATTCAGCATCTCTGCCCCCCACACTCTGGAACTCTATCCCGCAATTCCTCCCCCTCACTCCATCTCTTGCCTCCTTCAAGTCCCGACTAAAGACCTTCCTCTTTGACTGTGCCTTTGCCCACCTCCCACTCCCACGCCTCCCTGCCCTCCAGCCCTCCTGACCTCAACTCTCAGCTTGGGTCCAAAAATCCCTGACTGTCCAGCACCCTGGGATGTCTTTCCGACTTGAAGGGCGCTATACAAGTGTCATTTGTTCTTGTTGTTGTTGACCCCACTCTCCGTGCCCTTCTGTTGTAGGTGCTCAGCTTCACTAGCCTCAAGTACGACAAGTCCTACACTTGGATGGTGCTGTGCTTCCTATGGTGCTCCATCGTGCAGTCTATTCTCCTGCCAACCTTCCTGTGGGCTTGCGATCGCTACCGAGCTGACGTGAAAAGCGTGTGGGAAAAGTGTGTCGCCATCATGTCCAACGATGAGCTGGATGATGGTAATCTTTCACTCCCTCATTATTTTCAAGGAGATCTGTAGAACACCATTCAGTCTACCTCTTGTAATGTGTATGTGAAAGGCGTTACATAAATGTAAGTTGTTGTTGAGGTTACCGTCTTTTGGATGAGACGTCAAACTGAGCTCCTGCCTTACCTGTTCAGGTGTCCTGTGATACTGTTGGAATAGAGGAGGGTGTTTCTCCCAAATCGCCAGCCAACGACCATCCCCCCCCACTAGAAAAATTGGTCGTTCACCTCATGACTGTGACTGCTGCATTTGCCCACAACAACATTAAACAAGACATCGATTCCTGTGAAGTGCGCTTTGAGATGATTTGACGTCACGAGTGCTAAAAAAAAAATAGGCTCCTTGTTTTTACAGCCACTGTACGACGGAGCACATCCTGTATCCACTTGTTCACCGCGCTAGTTGAGTGCGATAATCTCCCTGTGTGAAGCACTGCTCAACTCGTCCACTCACTGCAATGCGATGTTTATTCTATAATTACTGTTTAATTCATGCTCCATTAGGTCAATTGGTAAGTGCAGGCAGGCAGGCTCTTACCAAGTGGTGAGCAAGCCAGGCTAGCATTCATTGGTTGTCACTCTGCCCGACTCAGCAGAATGATATCTTTCAAAAGCAAATTAGATGGGTTTCTTTTAGGAAATAATATCTCGGGGGTGGGATACGGTATGTAGTTTGGGACATGACATGTGAATGCGATTGCCCAGATGTTGGAAGGCGAACTGGATGGACATTGGTCTTCTTTCGTCCAGCAAATTCTTACGTTCTTACCATCTTTTTCAGAGAACAGTCAAGACGGAGCCATCCACCCAGAATCTTTCTTCGAGAGGGCCTACGATTACAACTGCACAGCGGAGGTTCTAACCATCGACCGAATCGCCAAGTACGACTTCTCCGCCCTGGAGAGGGGAGCACCTCAGCTCTACACCGTGAGGGAGATGCAGGAGGACAAAATGCAATACTTACAGGTCATTGTTGGTCAATATCACTGCACGGTCTGGATTCGCTGCTCGTGAAGTGAACCATTTTAGCCCGTCTTTAAATCTCCAAAGGTTAAGGATTGCCGTGGGGGTCAAAGTTGGTAAAAGTTCGCCTTTCCTTCCAGCTCCATCCGCCCATGTTTGAGTCTATTTTTGGTGGAATGTCATGCCTCCCACTCCTGCCTCTAATTTACATATAGTATAAATATGGATAAAAATGACAAAATAATCATAATCCCTGTATTGGTTATAGCCTCAAAACGTCCTAAACTGCTACAAAGTTGACTGCTGTCATTTGTGGTGACTCTTATCTGTTCGGGGCCAACATGGCAGCCAGTTTGCTCACTGCAAGGTCCCACAAAACAGCTGTGAAGTGAATGAGCAATTGATCTGGTGAAGCGTTGACTAAGATACTGGGAGAAACTCCTCTTCTCTTTTCCAACAGATGGGACCTCGGTTTAAAGCCTCATCTGAAGGACGGCGCCTCTGACAGTGCAGTGCTGCCCCCAGCACTGCGTTGGAGCGTTAGCCTGGACTGAGAGCTGAAGTCCTGACGTGGGGTTTGAACCCACAACCCTTCGACCCAGAGGCAAAGGTGCTACCAACTGAGCCAAGGGTCATCATAACACGAGCAACAACAAATTGCATTTATATAGCGCCTTTCACGTCGGGAGGACGTCCCAAGGCTCTGGACAGTCAGCGGTTTGCACCTGAGCTGCGGGTTGAGATCAGAGTGGGATGGGGGCCAAGGTAGGAGCATAACCGATGGCACAGTCAAAGAGAAAGGTCTTGAGAAAAGGCCTGGAAGGAGGCAGGGAGAGGGGCAAGGCGAAGGGATTCTGGAATGGAGTTCCAGAAGGTGGGGTCAGAAAGGCTGAAGGCCTGACCGCTGATGGTGGAGGGGGCATGGAGCAGGCCAGTGCCCGTCGAGCAGAGGGAGCCGGAAGGTTGGTAAGGTTTCAGTAGGTCCAGAGGTAGGGAGGAGCAAGACCATGGAGGGCTTTGAAAGTGAGCACGAGGATCTTGAACTGGGAGATGGGGAGCCAGTGAAGCCAGGCGAGGATGGGGGTGATAGGCTCACTGATCTTGGTGTGGGAGAGGACATGAGCTACAGAGTTCTGAATAATCATAGGGTTGCCCCTGGCTGGCTCATAACATCTAATGATGGCTGGAGGTGAATTGGATGGGAGAGCTCACAGTCATTCCTCTCTCTCTGTCTCTCTTCTGTCTCCTAGGTTCCTCCTACAAGACGTTACTCCCACGACGAGACAGACGTGTGGACCGCCAACCAGATCCCCTCGTACCTTAACCGCTGGGGGTCCTCGGAGGACATCACGGGCGCGATCCACTACGTGTCGCCCCGGTACGAGCGGAGGAGAAGCAGCCTGGTCTCCGAGCACGACGATTGCGCCTCCTACCATAAGCGGAGGAAATCGGTGGACAGTGTCGTGTCCCTCAAGCAGCTGTACCGAGACGACTATTTCGTCGACGACCTGACGTGTTTCAGCCGGGAGGAAATCATCAAATACATTGACGACTCCCCCCTCCCCAGCCCCATGAAGAGCCCCCTGCGATTGTCTTCCATATCTCTGTCCCAGGATAAATTCAAGCCGAGTCCCGTCACCTATTCCCACTTCCCGCTGACCAACTTCGAGAGGGAGCCTCAGGTGCTCAGACGCTTGACCGAGTACCACGGCAAAGGCTCTGTTCTCGGGCATCCCTCGTGCCCCAAGGAGAACCTTCCGCAACCCTTCCGTGCCCGACATGCCGAGCCGGACGGAAGCTACAGAAACGGCGAGAGACGCTCTTTGCAAGCGCAGGATAGCTTGGTTACCATCACGATGCCCAGGGGTAGAGAGCAATCCTGCCAGAACTCACGGACAGAGCTGGGCGTCTCGTGGGAACGCCAGGAGAAACTGGCAAAGATGGAGAGCAAAGGCAGCACAAACAGTTTTCTGACCTCGCCCTCTGGGTCATCGGGCTATGTGACATTTCATCTGGACTCCATCGGATCCACTTCTTAGGGTCCACACCTCTTATTGACCCGAAGAGGAAAGATGAGAGGGAGAGGGAGAGGGGAAAAAATGCCAAGAAAAAAAACAGAAGTGTTTCTACTGAGAATTTTTTTGTACCACGGAGATTTTTGTAATTCACTCAATTAGCGGAGAGAACGTAACATGAGTCCCGAGCGCCAAAGATACAGACACGAAAAAATAATTCTCCTGCTTTTCGATGGCTGAAGGGAATCTGATCTTAAGATGGTGGAGGGGGTGGGCGGAGGGGAAGGGGGAGAAAGAGGAAACAGAGGGGACAAATCTGGAACGAAAGGTTCGAAAGGCTGCAAATCCAGCCGAGTGCTGTTCTGAATGTTACGTAACAATCACTGCACATTAATTTTTTAATATAAATTCCGATTCCACACTCACTCAGAAGTGCCATTAAGCCTGAAGCCCTTTCAGGCTGAACGCATTTTGATGCCATTTTTGGCGGAAACTAAAAAAACAAAAAGAAAACAAAAGGAGTTTGTGTGGCGGGGTGGGAGGGAGGTGGGGGAGTGGGGGGGGGGGGGGGAAGAGGAGCAAATGTTCAGACACTTTTCGTTCTATTTTAAGGAACATATTTAAAAAAATCTAAGAGCTGTAAATCGATCTGTCCATTGGGTTTCCGCCAGGTAACCTGGCTTCTTCTTTTTGCTTTTATATGCACTTGGAGGTGTTTGATGTTTTGTTGGTTCTGTTTGTTAACAGTAATGATTTTCTTCACGACTAACTTAAAGGGGATGGCTTGTGGGGTCGGGGTGGTGGGGAGGGGGGAAGGGGAGGAGGGAGCGGGGAGGGGGAGTGTGGGGAGGGGGAGAGACCGATCACCCCTTTAATTGTAATTTCTCGTTTTTTTTTTTTGCATTTTGTAAAATTAAAGAAAAATTTGGTGTCATCTTTTTCGGGGTGGGGTGGGGTGGGCTGGGGTGGGGGGGGGGAGGGGAAAGGGGACCTTTTTTTTCTCGTTACCTTGAGAAAATGGGCCTACGTCTGTTCCTATTGGTACCAGTTTAAATCGTCTGAAATCTCGATTGTGACAAGTGTTTTCCTGACAGTATTTTGCAACCGGATTTTTTTTTTTGTTGACGTCTTCAGGTTTAACCAGGGTCCTGTGTTGTTTACATTCACCCCCCCACCCCCCCCACCCCCTTTACTTCCCCCTCTCCTGCCCTTCCTGGTTGCCCGGAAAACCGATCTCACTTCTTCTCGTTTCCTTGCGGACTATTGGACTCTCCGCGCCGATTTTCCATGCCGCGGGACGTTTTGTTTTTCTGCGCACTGTTTTCTGCAGTGTTGTCATTCCCAGTAGTCTTATGGGGTAGAGGAGGGTGGATGGTGGGGAAGGTGGTGGGGGGGGAATGTGGGGAGGTGGCGAGGGAGTTAGGGTCGCACGGCATGTTGCCCGAACAACTCCAGAATTGTGGAGACTTCTGAAATTCAGCCTCGGTTTACAAGCCACTTCTCCACCCCAACCCTCCCTCTCCCCCACCCGTTCCCCCCCTCCACACCCGCCAACTGAAACGCCACCCAACTCAACGAGACAGTTGAATTTCTCGAGGTAACTGTTTTGGCCTTGGGTACAGCTGGAGTCACCGCTGTTGACCAGGCCTGATAGAGACAGGGACCCAGATCACCCAGCGCCATGTTTGAGACCCTGGTTTTATTTGAGGAGGTTTATTGGCTGGCAGGCCGCACTTTTTGAAAGACATGCAGTTCTTTGTTCTGTAAGGAGCCTTCCTGAATAAAATCTTTAAATACTGTTTACACTTAACGGGCTTCTCTTTTCTGTTCATCTCCCCGAGGCTAATGTTGGTTGGTCTGAGAAACAGCCCCTCTCCCGCTTGCCCCATTTCACCTCTTAAACTGACTCTGGAGATGCTGACTGATGCCGAACTCCCCGCCTGTTTCCTTGACCTCAGCTTCCAGGCTCCCACCAACACATCCTTCCCCTCAGGACTGCATTGGAGCATTGGCCCAGACTAAGAGCTCAAAGCCCACAAAACACACAGTCAATTCACTTTTACAGTATATTCTGTGAAGCGCTTTGGACGTCTCAACGACTTGATAAGGCACTATATCAAATGTAAGGATTATTATTATTATTGAACCCACAACTTTCTGACCCAGAGGCGAGAATGCTGCCGACAGAGCCAGCTGATTACCAAGGATTTTAGGCTGTGGGACAGACAATCCTCAAAGGCTTTCCCTGCTTCTGAAGACTACTGGAGTCAATTGCTCATTGCTCACATTATCCTAATCCAGATGATTGTTGGTTAAGGCGGTAAGGGAGCTCTGGACTGATAGGAACCAGTTGAATCTAACACCTCCTTCACCCCACCAGAGCAAACTCATCTGTGGTGCTGAGGGAGTTAAATTCAAGGGAGCAGGGCATTATGCAGCTGCCTGCTTTAGCTGATAATCAATAATAATTTATTGGGATGTCAGGGGAGTGTAACAGACTGCAGTGCAGCTCATCAGTGATAAATGACTGGGGCATAATGTGCTGATAGAGATGAGTTGCAGGCTGGTTATATAATGACTTGGGATATTGACTACTAATCAAGTAATCAGCTTGATGGTACCACCTATAGGTGATCTGAAAATCAGTCCAAGTCACAGGGGGGCAGGTATGTTTCTTACTCAGCTCCTGCTAACTCTGCAAGCCAAAGCCCTAACTAGTAGGTGGCTCTTTACAGCTCGAAAAGTCACAGTAAACTTGCCAGACAGTGCAAACACAAAGGTAAGCTGTGTTGTTTTAGATAGCTAGACTCCAGCCTTACGCAGATTTCCTTACTCCACATGCCTGTTTACGTTGCAGTAAGTAGGAACCTGGTTGTTAGTCGATTGGCAGATCACTTTCCATGGGTAATAATCTCTCCAAACATAAATAAATAATGAGGTCACTCAATCCACGACTGTTTGCGAGACACTGCTGTGCGCAATTGTCTGCCGTGTTTCATCCACAACATACACAGTCAATCCACTTTACAATATATTCTGTGAAGCGCTTTGAGACATTTCAATGATGTGTTAAGTACTGTATCAAGTGCAAGGTTGATTATTTATTATCAGTTACAAGATCCTAATCTGGAGTCCCCAAAGCCTTGGGTCTTTCTTGCCTGTGAAGCGTTGTACTCCTGACGTGAAAGGTGCTATATCAATTGTAAGGATTATTATTAAAGATTCCAAAATAATTCTGTGGTGTAAGTAAAGAATTGGCTAAAGCTGGAGAATTTTACACTTCATATGAAAACACCTAACTTGTAATCAAGCCATCTGGACTGACTATTCACTGTTTGGTGGTGCAATTGCCTCCTCTTATGGTTACCTAGCAAACTGCACAGACACCATTAATTGTTTTTTAGGGTACAAATCAAAGACAGTACAACTAATAATTATTATTATACATCAAATGGGACTGTATTATTCTGACTGACTGATACCCAAAAGAGGGAGAGGGGGAGGATTTATTCTCAAGAGCTGGCAATGTTACTGTAAATTAATTTTATTCAAAATATATTTTTAACTCTTCTGAAAAAGATCACTTGTCCTTGTCCTGGATCCTTTGAGAAGGTTTGTAATGTGGCTTTACACCACTGAGGACATGTTGGTTATTTTCTCTCTCTCTCTCCAGATATTTACATTGATGAGAAGAAGCAGTGCTACAGAGACTTTAACTTTAAAAGGTAAGTGATGAAGGGCATCTCTCAATAGATCAGGGGCCAAGAATTCACCTAATCTTACCCCCTGGGACCATTTTGCTTTATTGAGAATAGTCCTAAAGCCCAGGAACTGCTCTAGCCAGGGTTAGCCACTGTCCACGGTATCACAGGTGTGTTTAAAGCTTCCTCCGGCCCCAATGCTAATGAACGACTCTTCCCCTGTCCAGGTACAACGCACCCAGTCTAATCCCAGTGGTTTTGGAGAAGAAGATTCGCGACATTGCTAACCTGGTGAGCGAAGCCTCGGAAGCCTTAGAAGGTTGAGAGTTGATCTGATTGAGGTGTTTTAAAATGGGAAAGAGATTCGATAGGATAACCACAGAGAAACAATTTCCTCTGGTGGGTGGGGGAATCCAGAACAAGCGGGCATCATCTTAAAATTAGGCTGTTTAGGAGTGAAATCACGCAGCATTTGTTTACGCAAGGAGTAGTGGAAATCTGGAGCTCTCTCCCTCCCCCAAAAGGCTGTGGGTGCTGGATCCATTCAAATTTTCAAGACTGAGGTGGATAGCTTTTTGTTAGGTCAGGGAATCGAGGGATATGGGTAATTGGAGTTGAGATAAATGATCTAATAGAATGGCAGAACGGGTTCGTGGGGCTGAACGGCCTATTCCTGTTCTTAAGAAATCGATGTCCTTGTTTCTCATGGCCAAACTTTGACTGGATAGTGATCAAACTCAGGAGGCCGGAGAGATTATTCCTTCTGGGAAACCAATGACATTCCTAAGGCCCACATTCTCCACGAGAGACCATTTCACCTGAAAATGTAAGTTTCGCTTTAATTTATGGTGAAAAATTCTTAAATCCAGCTTTAATTTTGGAAGCAGTGTTTTACAAAGACCTGCTGGAAATCAAGACTGATTTTTAAGAATTTTCTTCCATGTAGATAGTTTGCCTGAATTGTCTTAATTTGGGTAATTCTAACAGTTTGTTTTCAAAAAGAAAACAGCTCACAAATTGAGACTGAATTTAAGGACGGATAGAGAGATAAGAAAAGAGAGGTAGATGAATTTACACACAGAGAGAGAGAGAGTCTGAATGTCTTGGTGAAAATTAAAATAATTTTTATTTGTGTTTTTTTTAATGATGGGCCAAGCAAGATAACGTTATTGGAAACCTCTCTGGCGATTTGCTGCAGAGCGGAGGATTGATTATCGCCTCAAAAGGTAAGACCCAGCCTGCATCCAAGGTTTACAAATAAATATTTTAAATGTTTTTATAATGCCTTATATTGGAATGTCTCAAGACGCTTCACAGGTAATTACTGTCAAGTGGTGTGGCTGTGTGTTTGCAGGTGACTGTGGCAGCCATTTAGCCTGAGTATCGAGGTCCCACAAACAGCCATGAAGTGAACGCCTAGTTTATCTGAGTGGAATTATTGGCTCGGATACGAGTAGAATCTCCCTCTCTTTTCCGGACTTCACAGGTGTTTGTAGGAGCTTGCGGTGTGCAAATTGCCTGCCGCGTTTGCCTATACACCTCGACAGTAATCATCTGTAAAGTTTATATAAAAAAAATGTTTCAAACCGTGTTCCAATGTTACGAGTGCTCTGTCAAATTCAAGGATTTTATTCCGTTTTATTTCGACAAATGCAACGATTCTAATTGTCGGGACCTGTACTTCTGAGTAACGACCACCCGGTGGCGAAATCACACAACTCCTGGCAACCAGAATGAGAATATGAGGTGAAAACTGTCCCCTGAACATACCGCGTCCAATCTTGTTTCATTCCTGCGTGCAGATTGATTGAAGCACTCTGGACTGTACCACTTGAATGGATGAGAATCGGTTGCGTCTGACTGGATTGGACCTTTTTTTTTTTTGCCGGTGGGGGTTAAGGGAAAGAGTTGGAAACTCACTGTTGAAATGAACTTGGCTTTCTGTTGCAGGTGGGGAGGATTTATTACATCCAGGAGTCTCCGGCTGCACACCTACCGTTTGGAAAAAATTCTCCAGACATTAAGCATCACAGACAGGGTCGAAGCTGCTCAAATTCCAAAGGTGAGGGAGTTGTGGCTTCTTTAAAAGAGAATTTAGGAGGAACTGCTTCACGCAGAGGGCGGTCAGATTGTGGAACTCACACCCTGAAGTGGTGGTTGAATCAGAGAGTGTAGACGCATTCAATAGGGAGCCAAACCTTCACATGATGGAGAGTGGAATAGAAGGGTGTGGGAGGATTGCAGGATGGAGGATCGTGTGGAGTCTAAGTGTACTGTTTCCGTGCTGTACATTCTTTGTAACAACTTACATTTATATGGGGCCCTTAGGAAGGTGAGGTGTGGAGGGGAAAGGGGCTCTAAATAAACCCAAATTAATAACACAATAGGGAAAAAGATGTCTTCTGGCATCACAATGGCCTGGAAATAAATAAAACATAATAATAAAATATCGGGTCTGGCAGCAATTTGGCACGCGATGATACTGTGACCCATAAAGAGGGTGTTTGGTTAAAAAGCTTTGAGAGACGGGAACAGGTGCGAGGATAAAAAATCGATTGTTTTTGACAGTCGTGAAATTATCCGTCGCCTGTTGAGCGTCTCGTGGTTTCTGAGTATAATTACTCTGTCAGGAGCGATGAGATGTCACTGGCCTTTGATGGATTCAATAATATTCTCCCTTTATTCTGTGCCAGAAGACATCAGACTTGTTTAACTTGAGCTGCGCAACGCTGAATATATAACGATGGTAATAAGAATCCTTGCATTTGATAAGAGTCTTATTACGTCATCGAGATGTCTCAAAGCATTTCACAGAATATACTGTAAAGTGAATTGACTGTATATTTTGTAGGCAAAACATGACAGCCAGTTGCGCACAGCAGTGTCCCCACAAACATCTGTGGATGGAGTGAACCCAATTTTTTTTTAAGGGGATTATTACCCCTGGAAAGGCAATCCCCCAATCTACTAACAACAGGTTCCTACTTATTGCTAGGTTAACAAGAGACAAGTGGAATAAGGAAACTTGCCTAAAATTTCACCCTGCCCGGGAATCAAACCCAGGTCCTCTCGCTTGCGCGGGGAGTGCTCTAAACACTGAGCTACAGATCTCTGACATATCACCCTTAACTGTTCCTCTGAGTCTTCACAAGCACCAGAGTTGACCCAGAAGTTTGAAGGAGAAACCGATCGTTGTTTTGAATTTCCAGGTTTTTATTTAAGTGATTTGCACTGGTCGGTTAAGTGGTTTCAGGCAACCAGTAAGAGAGCAGGGGGAGAAGATACGAGTTTTTTTAATGTTATTTAATCTCTCCTCAGCGAGAGGGATTGAGAAGCACTGACAGGCTCTGCTGAACCTTTGCGCTGACTGGGGATAACAGCAATCAAAGTATTTCACCAAAAAGAGAGTATTGTGAGCCACTTAACTGCTTGTTGTGTGGTGATGGTGGGGAGAAAGAGGTAAAATGTTATAGCCAAACCCGTGTTTGAATCTAACTGAGATATATATATATATATAAAATGTATACATGGTTGGGAACTGCGTGTATAATATATTGTGTGTACAATATTTCACATTGCACTGGACACCGGGAACTCATTTGGTTTCTCTTTGTTTTGGGGGAAGCATATAATAATAATAATCATAAAATCCTCAAATGTTCCAAGCACCAAAAATGGCCAGTTCTGCCCTGGATTCCACGCTAGTGTTTTTCACCACATGGGGCCACCTGATCTCGCCCCCTTTATCCTTCCTCCTCTTCAAGAAAAACAAAGCAGAACTCCTTCCTGCCGCAGCTGCTTTGCTCCGCTCGCTAATGCTCTCGCGTTTAGTCTTCCGAGAGGCAGATTAAAGCTGTCAGGCAGATAATTGCAATGGGTTAGGGGTGGAGAATTGTTTTATTGCAGCACTTTGCTGCTGTAATTTCACATCTGCAGCCTCCAAACTCCCTGGCTAACTAACTTTCACGAGCAAAAAAAAAATAACCCTTTGCATCCGCTTCACGAACCAAGCCAAAAGAACAAACAACAGTCATAAAGTATTTAATGAGAAATAATGACAGAGCAGATATATATATATATTTAAGTCCACACAAGGCGTTGAGATTAAATAGCCCAATAGAAGACAACTCATCCAATAATCTTTGTACATTTTTCCATGACGAACAATGCAGAGTAAATCCTAAAAATATTACAAAGAAATCAAAGTCCACACAGACCTTCATTTCCAAACTGAAGCACGACAAAACCAACTGCAGAAGGCTTTCGAAGCTTGAAATGAAGTGTACTGATGGTTACACTGACACACAATGCATGGGGGCACCTTGATATATATATAATATATAGAATATATTTATTTTGTTAGAAATGTGCATATGAATCATTCACGCCAATAGTGTGCAGCGTTTCACATTGACGCACTGGAAACTAGGAACACATTTCGGTTTCACTTTGTTTCAGAGGGAAGCAGCTCCAAGCGACTGAGAACGGGGCATTTTGGGCAATGAAACAGCCAGTTAAATATCCCCAACATGCAAAAGAAATGCAGCATTCACCAAGTCTTGAGGGACCAGTTTATATCAATAGGCCCTTTCAGCTAAATGATTCCTTTGCCGTCATTATAAAATGACTCCTTTCGTCATTCACTGAGGATAAACCATTTACACACACATACATATATATATATATACACACACACACAGACAGCTCTTCCATTCCTTGTAGACACCACCGAATAGTTAAAAGCACCCTGACGTCATTTCCAAAAGCAAGTAAGAGTTAACAGTCTGGTCGCGGTATAAAACAGTCGGTGTAAAATGTTTAACAGTTAACGCCTCACTTTCCTCCCACCCCCACATCCATCCGTTTGCATACAACTCTCAGAGCGACAGCGAGGAGAGCAGATAAACTTGGCGGTGATTGACTGGAGAATGGTTAGGCACATCCATTGGCTTCTGCCGATACTGCTTTCTTCCAACCACATTGAACCTTTATGATTTTGCCGTTGGTTTGAACTGACGGGACCTTCGCTCGCTGTTTACCACACGCGGCATTTCTGCGTGGGATGCATCAGGTTCCCCTTCTTGCACTGAAAGGCCTCGGCGAAGGCATCGAAGTTCTGGAGAGAGCCCATCACCCTGCAAACACAGAAACGCACTCCCCTTCGCTCACTCTTAACAGAACACAGTGGCTGCACTCAATGCAATTTGCATTGATATAGCTCGTTTCACATCGAAAGGACGTCTCAAAGTGTACAGAACATCTGTTTGCTTGATGAGGACATCAAAGCAGATTTCTCCACCACCAACTTGATCTGGGGGATTGTCAGCCGTGAAACACCAGGAGAAACGCTGCACTTTTTAAATAGCGTCGCGAGATCTTTAACATCCATCTGACCAGGTGTATCCGGCACCTAGGCTTAACATGTCATCTGAAGGATGACACCTCTGGAAAATGCAGGGCACCTTTTTCCTCCCCCTCCCCACCCCGCCCCCAGCACTGTGCTGGAGTATTAGCCTAGACGGTGAGTTTCAAAGTCTCGACTTGGGGCTTGAACCCACAACCTTCTAACTCAGGGATGAGAGCGCTCTGGACTGGGGGAATGAGGGACGTGTAATGGGTAGAGAGATTGGAGAGATCTGCTGTTTGTCACAGGCAGCACCAGTTTGAGTTGGAGCTGTGTTGTGTGTGTGTGCGTGTGCGTGTGGGTCTGACTACCCACCTGTACTTCAGTGGGCTGTGCGTGTCGGTTTTGATGGATTGGCTGGCATACTCGGGCCTGTAAGACCCACACCACACCTGCAGAACACACACAAGGCATTTAGAAAGAGAAAGGTGGGGGAGAAGGTTAAGGTGATCGAAAGAGCAGTCAAAAAGATGTGTGAAGAGAGTGGGTTGGTGGTGGGGGGGGGGGGAGGAGGAGGGTAGGGGTCAGGGAACCTCGGGATGTAGTTCCAGCGAACGAGGGCAAAATGATTGAAAGCTTACCGACCATGCAATTTCGACCCTCCTGTTGCACAGGTGTGCTCCAGCCTGCTTACCTGAGCAAAGTTGAGGAAGAAAAGCTGATCGTGGGTCAAATCCAGGCCTGGTAACTTCATTTCTTCCTGTTCTTTCTCCATCCATTTTAAATATGCCTGAATTAAAATACGGAACGAATGAACCCACTCAGCAAATTAACCTCGCTAATTTATGTCCAACAGATAATCCCTGCTTTGCAGAGGTTTGGGGCGGTCTTCCCGACATGAAAGGCATTGTAATTAATAAACGCAATTTTTTTTGTTGTTGTTGTTGGTACAGCGCCTTTCGTGTTCAGGAGGATGTCTCAAAGCGCTTCGCAGGATTCTGCTGTAAAGTGTAGTAACTGTGCATTTTGGAGTGCCAGCCTAGACTGTGAGCTCCAATTGCCAGGGGCTTAAATCTACAACCTTCAGACTCGGAAGCAAGAGTGATTGAACCACTGAGCCAGGCTGACGCTAAAAGCAGAGAAAGGGAGAGAGCGAGAGCAGGGTGAGAAACAGGTACTATTTTTCTGTAAAATATACAGCAAAGGAGTAGACGTGGCCGATTGTCAGACCTACCTTATAGGCCTGTCGGACTCCTCCATTGTCTGCAATATTTTCGCCCAAGGTAGTGATCCCACTCACCTGCACAAAAGACACAAAAGAACCAAATGAGTCACCGAACATAGAAGAAAGCAGAACGGACAATTTATCCAGAGGATTATTGGCTAGGACACCGAGAGAAACCCCTCCTCTCCCAATGACGCAGCGCCAGACAAAGATAAATAAAGAGACGTATTTACGTTCTGCCCTCCAGCTAAGTCCCAGGTATAGTTGCCGTATTGGTGTATCATGCACCGCGACTGATCTTTGAAATGGGTCGCGGAGAAATTGCTCCACCAGTCAAGCATGTTGCCGTCTTTGTCGAAGTTTCTTCCTGGAAAGGAACAGGAACTGGGAATAAAAAAAAACAGCCGGAACGAGTGTCCGGACACTCACAATGAGCAGGGCTCCAAATGGGAGAAATCCCACGAAGATGGACTCTATTTTCTTGGCATTTCAGAGCATCTAGAATTTGGCAAATAATAATCGTTGCATCTGATGTAGTGCCTTATCACGTCGTTGAGATGTCTCAAAGCGCTTCACAGGATAGACTATAAAGTGACTGTATATTTTGTGGGCAAAACAAACAAAAAAAAATTGCTGAATTCAGTCTCAGCTTCCCTAAAAATTCGGACTAATTTGCCAAATGCTGGACACGCTCTCAAATACAAAGCTAATAAGAGTAAAAGCCAAAACCCAGGTGGGATTTGGAAAAAAAGGGTAAGGACTTTGATCCCTACTCACCGTTGTCGTCAAATCCGTGTGTTATCTCGTGCCCGATCACCATCCCTATTCCTCCGAAGTTCAGGGTTTGGAGCTGGTGTTTACTGAAGAACGGAGGCTGGAGAATTCCGGCAGGAAATACTGAAAGGAACAAAGCAACTGGCGTAAGCGAGAACCTGATTGTGGTACTTGTCGCTGAGCCGTCTACTCGGGTACGATTTGCAAACTGGATCAATGATCGAGCTGGAATTCCGGGTCTGTGTATTCTGTGTACAAATGAGATTTTGAGTGTTTTTTTTAAACCTCCAACTAGTTATGGGAATGTGGCACGAACTTGCAGGAGTTTCTGTTGGGGCAGGATTGATTGAGGGGAGTGGGAGTGGGGTGGGAATGGAATTAGATAAGCACATGGGAGGGAAGGTTGTTAAATTCTCCGACCAGAATTTCCAAGGAAACCAACTCGGGGGGCCTTAACTGTGAGGCTGTTGCAGGGTGGGGGTGATGTGGGGGGAAATGATTGGAATCAACATCTGGCTCACAGCGCATTGGTTTGAGACTCGCAAGTCTGAATTGTTTCAGGTTAATCTTTCCTGGCTTTCTTCACACTGAATACCTAATTCCACGATGCAGTGCGTATAGTGACTCACCGATCTGATTCTGGTTCGGTGAGTAGAACGCATTGACGATGGCAGCCCCGATATTCCACCTGACACACACAGAGAGAGAGTGAGAGAAAGAGGAAGAGAAGAGAGAGGAGCTGAACTCAGGGACAGGCATGACAGTACTCTTACACCTCATCTGATCGTCAGCCTTTACAAAATGTTTGCGTGGGTTCATACGTCGAAAAGCAGATCGCAAGGTATCATGGAACCTTTAACTCCTTAATAATAATCCTTGCATTTGATGTAGTGCTTTATCACGTATTCGAGACGTCTCAAAACGCATCACAGAATATACTGTAAAGTGAATTGACCGTATATTTTTTGGGCGAAACACAGAAGCAAATTACACCACCGCTTGTTACTCACGCATCCCGGTCCACACGTTGACGCAGCTTTTTCAGGTTCTTCTGCGCGTTGGCCTTGAGGTTGTCAAGGACGTTCTCGAAGTACGTGTTCTCATTGAAATCCAGCTGGACAAAAGCACAACATTTTATCAGCGCTGACGCATTCGGTCCTCGGCTCTTAATTTGTGCATATTAACATGAACAGTGAGTTCTAATGTGGTGGAGATGATTAGCCTTATATTACGTGGAATGGCAAGCGTTATTAGCAATCAGCCGTCTACAAGAAAAACGCGCTGTTATCAAGTACAATCGTTGATTGGGAAACATTCCCACCGGGTCTAGATTTAATTTCGGAGCGTCCAGTATTTGGCAAAGTGTTGAATGCGGTCTTAACTCTGAAGTCCGCTGGTTAATGTTGTTCGGTGCTGATGTTACTCGCCATGAACTGCTTGCAGTAGGGCCGGCTTTGGGTGGTTACTATGGCGACTAATCTCAGCAACAGCAAGGATTAAACAAGGAGAATCGTGCCCTCATGTCTTCACGTTACGAGGCTCGAGGCCTTAAGGCAATCATCACTGACTCCTTAAGCCGTTGCCCTTGAGATGCAGTGGAATTACAATATCAGCGAAAAATAGGTTACCACCAAACGAGGATAAGGAAGAGGTAAAGATTGGAAGCAAACTGACGATTGCCTTAAGCCCTCGAGTCTTGAAACGTGGAGACATGAGCGCACAATTTTCCTGCCCTATATGTAACTTACTTGAGGTGAATGAAATCCAGTGTAAATTCCAGATCAGGTCCAGCCTCTATTTGGAACAGGTGGGGCCCATTCAGCCCACCCAGATGTACCACCAGTTCATGTGTATTACTCACATGTGCATATTCCTGGTCCAGTCTAGGATTCCCCTCCTCAAGGACGTAGTCTGGGTATCCGATCTGTTCATTGATCGCCAGGGCCTTGGTCAATAAGCAACACAAAAGCAGACTTGTATCACCAGTATAAAGGTTCTACTCAGCACAGTGACAACCAGTGAAAGCTGCTAAGCAGGCTGTGATGGTTAACCTTTACCAGGCGCAAAGTGGAACAATTACATGCGGTTTGTTCTGTGGCCTCAAGAAAGAATGACTGTGAGATATTTTATTGGTGGGGGGATTGTCGGTCAGGACACCAGGAGAAACTCTCTTCTCTTTTTCTAATAGTGCTGGAGACCTTTAACATCTACCAGAATGGGCATAGACAGGAACGTGCTTTAATGACTCACCTGAAGGATGGCACCTTTGTCAATGCAGCTCTACCATCCACCCCCCAACCTGCTTCCCACTACCGTTCTGGGGTGCCAGTCTGGACTGGGAGTTCAGGCTTTGGGGCTTGAACCCCTTAGCTTGCAAGCCAGAGGGGTGAGTGCAACAGATTAGTAAACAAACACTCAATTGCTAAATGCAAGGAACCAAACCCAGCTCCGTGCAGGCAAGTCAACAAAAGCAGACCTTCTCCCTCGCTTTTTCCTTGGAAGTTTCATCCATCCACTGCAGCTCATCCAGCGCCTCAATAAACACCTCTCGGATTTTATCGATTAGATCTTTAACCTGATGAAAAGAGGTTGGGGTGGGGGGAGGGATGAGGATGTGGGGGGAAGAAAGTATTCAGTACAATACGCTGACGGCCATTGGCAGCAATAGGTGTAAAAGACCTGTCAAATATAACCCAATCATTGCTGTGTCCCTTGGCCCCATTATATAGACAATATCTACCCGACCCCAAGGCCTGGAGACTAAAGAAAACAAATGGAATGCTTTGGTAAAATTAATGGGTGGCTCAGAATAAGGAGAAAAATACAGCGTGGATTTAATGGGCTGAACTGGGCTCTTATTGATGGCCCTTTTGGCCTGAAGCCTTGCCCTTGAAAGTGATGACCTTACCATTCTCTTGCTGTCTCCAACAAACGTTTCCTTCACGTAAAGTGCCCCCACCGCGCTCTCCATGTTGCTGTTTATGTAGCTGGTGCATTCACGCCAATGGGCTTCTTCCACAGTGGTGCCGAACAGAGCCTGGATCAGCGAGAGGTCAGCCAGACGTTAGAACGGATACCCTTGTGCTTTCTGTTGTGTTAAGACATCTTCCCCCCACCCAAGCCCAAATGCATATTTATTCCAGAGGCCTGAGCCCCTCTCTACCCCACACACACCAGTGTGTTGTAAAAGACGAGACTGCTTTAAACCAAAATTGGATTAGTTCTTTGAAATAAGACACGTGGGAAGCTTCAAATATGTGTCTTACCTTTCGGTAGTTGGCTCGGGCATCTTTGAAACGACTGCTCAGATTGCTAACCCGTTCTATGACCAGTCGCCAGATGAGGTAATTCTGAATAGTGCTGGAAAAGCATGAGAGTCAGTTTCAGGTCCACCCATGAAACAAGACATGAACAGAACTATTGAAAATAGGGTGCATTTTGCCAGGACGCCAGGAGAAACTCTTTTTTCTAATAGTGTCGCAAAATATCTAATGCCAATAAAATATTTAATATCTAATGGTTTTGTGAGTTGGTTTCATTGTAAAGCTAATTGAGATATTTTACATCAGGAGAGCTTTCATGTACTTAAGCACATCTCTAAATAAAGGCTCTAATGCCCTTACCTTTTAGAATACTTGGGGAGTATATACTCAAGCTTCTGGAGGTATCTGGGAGCATAGACCACAACTTCTTCTTCTGGGTAGACTTCAATGTCTACACTTGACATGATTCCTTGAATGAATTGGGTCCAGTTAAATCCCTGAGATACAAGGAGGAGTGAATCACTACAGTTTGTAAGATGGGAGTGATTGTATCTTCCTTTACCCAACATGAGTCACTGAGAGCAGAGATTTTTCCCACACAGCTACTGTTATCCTTGAAGGCCAAAGCGCAAATCAATACTCTTAAACACAGTGAATACAAAATGAATACACAGGATACAAAAAAAACCCCAGCAGCTTCCAGCATCAAGACTGAAGAAATCCACGAGCAATAACTCACATTGAGGTCAAACTTTTCCTGAAGCTGAGAAAGTGTCATTTTGTTGTACATCTGTGTAATATCGTGTCTTTCTTCCTGTGGTGCAGTTGCCTATGGGAACAACGATAGGAATGATAACATACAGAAACAGCTTTACATCTGAGCTTAGTGAAATAGTACATTTTAAATAGTACCCCCTCCCTCACCCCACTACTGCACTGGAGCGTTAACCTGGACCGCAAGCTCAGGGGGAATTGGACTCACAACCTTCTGACCCAGAGGCAAAAGTGCCTACCAACTGAGCTAAGCTGACACACTCCTCCAAATAACCCTTGCTAAACACTCACATTGGCAATTTCTATTTCAAATTCCAGGACTTTGGCCATTTCCTCTTGGACAAAGATGTCGTTCTTGGTCAGGTTTCTGTCTTCTCTGATCATCTTGGCAATTAAAATCATAAACTGCAAGTAGGCGTCACGTACCTTTCAACGGAAAGAGAGGTTCAGCGTGAAAGTGAGAGTCAAATCCCATACAACAACTTGCATGCACTATAAGGTGCCCAGACTTCACCTTTTTGTTATTGCCACCTCCGAAATAAAAGTCTCTGGATGGCATTCCGAGCAGAGCCTGATCAACCTGGAAGAGCAAGGAGCTGAGCATCATATAAAATAATAATAGTAATCCTTGCATTTGATATTAGCGCCCTATCATGTCTTCGGGATGTCTCAAAGCGCTTCACAGAATATATTGTAAAGCGAATTCACTGTGCATTTTGTGGGCGAAACGCGGAAGTCAATTGCGCACAGCAGTGTCCCACAAACAGTCGTGGATTGACTAACAACTGGGTTCCTACCTGCTGCTAGGTAAACAGATGCTGCGGAAACAGACATCTAAAACGATATCTAAAAAGTAATTTGCAGAGGTGCAGGGAAAAGAGGGAAGGGAAATGGGAGTGAATGGATCGCTCTTTCAAAAAGCCAGCAGACGCGATGGGCCAATTGGCCTTCTTCCCTGGTGTGTCCAATTTCTATCGCTCTAGGCCTGAAATTCCGATGTTTAATATCAGCTTCAATCACAAATTTCACTCATCCCCATTTCCCGAAAAGCCCCTTGAATTGGGAGAGAGTTCTGAGCAACCACACGTAGAGATAAAGAGTTGTGGCAGAGCCTCGACATTCCAGAGTCATGGTACAGGTGCTAGACTGACTAACAGAACCAAACAGTGCCAAAAGCAAGAGACTAAACCGCTAAATAAATAGAAGGCCTTGGTCTTACATAAATCGTATATCTGCTGGAGTCCATGTCATCTGTCCAAACGAACATATCCACCAAGATTCTCTTGTTGTAATCGGCGTTCATTCGTGGCAGGATCCTCTCAAGACTCCACTCAGCATCTAGGACACAGAAAGGAGAAAGGCGTGTGACCATCTGTACTTCAAGCCAACTTCAGGGTGGTTAAAACACTTCACGTCCTCCCGACGTGGAAGGCGTTATATAAATGTAATTTATTATTGGCGTTGGTGGTAGTGGAGGTTAAGGTTCACTTGCGGAACAGGGAGGACCTCGGTTTACCGTCTCCTCTGAAAACATGGCTCAGTCTTGACTGTAAACTCAAATCTGCGCGTGAGTCTGCAGCCTAGCCTGATACTCCTCTAGCTCAGAGGGAAGAGCGCTATCTCCTGAGCCAGCCTGACATCTAAACTGCCTTTACCTCGTGTGATGTGCCAGTCATTTGTGGCCACAGGCCAATCTCCAACTGCATCCAATAAATGCAAGAGTGGTTCCGAATCTCGTTCCTCGATTAAACCTGCGGAAAGACAACAACATGGGCAGAGTGTTCAGCTCACCTGATGGCTCAGTGAGTTTGTCCAGTCAGTAGCTCAGACACATAGGATAGGAGAGGCCTAGGTTCAATCTCCACGCTTTGCTGAGTTCATTCCCAACCACAGCTGCTGACGCTCACTATCAAGACTCAGGCAGCATTTATCACTACTTGGGCTAGCTCGTGCCAGGAATTATGTTCCCAGTGGAGAGAGAAAGGGAGAATAACAATAATGATATCTAATACAGCACCCGTAACCTCAAAGCATCTCGACCTGCTTCACGTGTAAACGTTTCCGAGTGTGACCGTGCATTTGTAGGCCAACGCAGCAGCCAATTTGCTTGCAGCAAGGACCCACTCACAGTGATTAAGCGAATGATCGCTCCTGACGTGAAAGGCGCAATTTATTGTTGTCCTTGCAAATGCAATCTGTTATCTGGGGGACTGTTTGACCAGGACACCGGGGGAAACTCCCTTCTCTTTTCCAATAGCCTTTCGGATCTTTAAGGTCCAGCCAGATCGGACCTCGTTTCAACAGCTAACCCAAAGAAGGTCACCTCTGTAACGTATTGAGCATGGAACTGTCTGTCCGGTTCAACCGCTCGCAAAGTCACAAAGCGTGCGCGATCCGTTCAAAGCAACAGGATGAAAGGAACCTCCTGAAACACGCACACTTCTGCTGCATCCTATTTCCCTTGTATTCTTTCTACTTTCTTTCAACTCTCGGTACTGTGATCCTCGTGATCCCCGTCTGCGTTGCTGTGCTGTGGGTTTTTGCCACCGCTCCAAATATTTGCATTGCATTTCAGTCTTTCCTAATCCTCCTTAGTCTGTTGAGAGGGTTTGCTTTGACAGCACGTGGGTGTTGCAGAGACCAAGCAACAGTGGCACTGGCTTTCGCCACGGATTTTAGCTGTACTGGAATCCTCGCTTTGCATTTCCACCCTGCGGAGCTAATACTGCATTCTTGTGGTGCGCAGCTGGTCTGGGTAGAAGGTTGCAAAGTGCGGTGGGTGGGGGGGGGGCGGAAGGGGGTTAGGAAGGAGAGAACGTGCCTGTCAAGGCGTCACAAGATTAGCCTCAGAGGTCTTGGTAATTTGCGAGGAAATGACAATCTCATTGTGACGTGTCTGTGCTAAAAGCTCATTAACCACAAGCCTGATGCTTCCCTTCACAGCTAATAGCCCCGCACATCTGCCAAGGTCTTCATTAACTTGAGAGACGACCATTCTGAGCAGCCGACGTTTCACTCCCCGGCTCCTTTCATCCATTACAGGGCTCATCTGGCCCCTCGGATTTTGACAGCTTCGTTTATAGAGGGTGAAAAAGGTGCTAAACAGATCATCACCTCATCAGCTGCTAAAGAACAGGCACTGGAGCATCGGTTAGTGGAATACTGACATTTATTATTAAGATGGTATTGAGCTAACTGGCATTCCAAGGCTGAGCTCCGAGATGCTGCCTCGCGTGAAGGGTGCAAGTTGTTGTTGTTGTTGCTGCTGCTATCTGGGGATCAGCAAATCTAATGGGGCTCGGCTTTGTGTCCATTCATTCGAATGGAGTCAGGGGTGTAGGGGGAGGAAGCTATGCTTACATCCATCACTCCATCACACCAGAGTCGTTACCATCACTTATTCTCTGGCTTCATTCACCCCTTTTTATTGACGATGTGCTATTTTATCACCAGTGCTGATTAAGACACACTCACATCGAGTTTCAATCAGGTATTTCAAAGCGATTATGTTTGAGAAGATGAACTTACTTTCGTTCAAGCAGGATTTGTACAGACATTTAGCTTTTTTAACAGCATCGCGATCCCCTTCATCTGGTCTTTCCAAGACACCTACAATTAGAGAGAAGTGGGACAGGGGCTGGGTATATAATAATCTTATTAATAACAACCACAACTTAATCATCTTTGCATTTGACCCTTGCACTTCATAAAGAGCCTTATCACGTTGTCGAGACTTCTCAAGGTAATGTCACAGGATTTACTGATCACACAGGAAAACAGGCCTTGAATTTGTAAACTGCAAAGTTATAAATGTTGGGGAAAATATCGCATCTCAGTGAATATGTGGGGATGTAGCATCAGATAAAGAGAGAATGAGAGACTCAGAACAAGTCAAGAATAAATAATAATTCTTCCTTTTGATGCAGCACATTATTACACCTATACAAGACGTTTCAAAGCACTTCACAGAATATACTGTAAAGTATAGCGACTGTGTATTTTGTGGGTGAAAAATATGCGTAGAGAAAGGGAACATCAGAGAGATAGAGATGAAAAGTTAGAGAGATGGAAAGTTAAAGAAGGGGGAAGGAGAAAGAGAGACAGGGGGATAGAGAAAGAAGGAGGGAGGTAGAGAGAGTGAGACTCGGAGAGAAAAAGTCAGAGAGAGAAAAGCACAGAGAGAAAGATGTTTTTCTTTTAAACGTATCTGAGGTTGGGACAATGTTTCGGCCGGCTTGCTGTTGACCTGTTACCTTTCAGGATGATCTCCAGCTCATCACGGAGGATGTCAAAGATGCTGTACCTGGAGCTAGTCTCAGGTATGATGTTGCGGTTCAGCCACCCCCCACAAGCGTACCTGTAAAAGTCCTCACAGGGTTGGGCTGAGGAATCCATGTTCTGGATTATCCGAGCGGCTGAAGGAGACGTTAGGGAGAAAAATGTTTTAATTTGCATCGCAGAGTTTCTGGGATCCAGTCTGTGTTGGTTAGGGTTAGGGTTAGAGATTAGGGTTTCTACTTGTCAGAACATGAGAATTGCTAGACAAATGAAGACCATCCAGTTCACCTTCCACTATCCTGGCAGTCGCTTTATGTCATGTCCCAAACTATATCCCCAGATATTATTTCCTAACAGAAAACGATCTGACTTGTTCTTGAAATAATTAGCACTTTCTGCTCTCACTGTCTCCCTAGCGAGCCTGTTCCATACATTTACTTCCCTGGACTAGTTTGGAACAGCCCCCATCATTGGGATATGGAAACACTACAGTTAATGGGTCAGATCTCTGCTGTATTAATAAAAAAATCCCATTCATATTTCCACTCCAGTCAAAGATACACCTCCCCACCCACAATATCGTTCAGCGTTTCGATCCGCTCGACTGGCTCCGGCCTCCTGCTTGTCCCTCGTGCCCTCCGTTCCACCATCGGTCGCCGTGCTTTCAGCCACTACGTCCCGAAACTCTGGAACTCTTCCCTCAATCCCTCTGCCTTTCCCATCACTTCCTACAGTCACGTTCCCCCTCTTCCTGGCTCGGAGACGTACTCCGCCACTGTCGAAGGACTCTGGGACTCTACCCTTGGTGAGCGGGCGCTATATAAATGCATGTTGTTGTTGGTGGCCACTGACCTGCGGTAATGCAGCCCTGTGTTGTGCAAACCTTTTCCGAATTTTTGTTCAGCCGCTCACCTGAGGGAGAAGAGAAGAATGTTTTAGTGGGGGGTGGCGGTGGTGGGGGGGGAGGTGGGTAACAGCACTTTGTGTACATCCTGTAGATGCAGTGTGGGAAGGAGAAGCAGTGTGAGATAGAGGAAGGAAATTCCAGAGGTTATGGTCATAGCATCTGAAGTCTTGGCCACTTATGGTCAATCACTAACCTGTTAATTGCTTTCATTATTTTAAGGACCTCAATGTAATCACCTCTTAATTCCATGTGCTTCAAGGTCCAGTCTCCCCAGCTTCTCATCGGAAGCTAAGTGGTTACCTGAGATCTGTGGTGATTTTATAAATTTACCAACCAGAAAGAACCAGTGTTAACCAGGAATCCATGTCACAATGGCCCGCATAATGCATGATTTTGTAAAGCTATTAATAACACAAGTCAAGAGAAATAGGAATGTTTTCTCCCTCAAACTGAATGCGTTTGATCCCAGGCCCTAGAGGTGAAAGGTCTTTGTGCTAAATGCAAGGGTTTTAACACGTGACACTTCAGATGGTAGACACTGGCTGAAGCTCAGAGATTTATTGCGTAGCAGAGGGAATGCGATTGCATTTTATAATAGATATTAAGTCCAAATGGCACAATGCAGATGTTCATCCTGCAGTGCGCTTTTCATTGTTATCACTATTAGAGAGTTAGTTATAAATCGAGACAAATTGACAACCAGATACATCATACAACAGCTGGGAGAGAGGGGGTTTGGGGGGCGGGGAAGAGGAGAAGGTAGGAGTGGTAAGCATTCACATATTCCTTAGACTGAGGAAAGAATCCACTACATACCTTGATCCAAACTCAATAAAATAGTGACAGGCATAACAAGGAGACTAAACTGTGATTAATGGCATCGTTAACGGCATTGTGTTCCACTGAACAAACAAGTAAGCAAGACGAGAGTTCTGGATTTGCTCACAGTCCACATCAGAGCAGAAGACTTAGACTTTTACCCCTCAACTTTCTTCCCACAAGCCAGCAATCTTGTTAGCAAAGGATTCGGTTGGACGGCACTTCTGCCTGATTTCTGATTAATTGCTTGCCTTTCTTTATGCTTCTGATTTAAGGACCCTATGCCGGACTGAGAGCATTTTGTCTAGTGTGGAGCAGAGGATCAGACACTAACGGAGGCAGAACCGTGTGCCCACGATAGTGACCATCAGATTCTGTGGCAGATACAGATAAATATTGGCTCTCGCTAATGGTCTATGTGATTCATACTGAGGTCCTGCTCCAGCATTTGACTTAAATGATGTTTTTATTGGAATTGATTTCACCGAGGGGAGGAAAAGCACGCTCTGCAAAGCGTGATTAATGTGTAGCGCGAAACACCCTGACGCTCTTTCTGTAAACACTTTCTTTCACACCAAAAACTTTCCTCCACTGAAGAAACAACTTGCATGTGCGTTACAGTCTCAAAATAAAATCTCAAAGCACTTCACAATCTAATTCAATATTTGTTCTTTGAAAGCAAATGTCATTTTACCCACAAAGGACCCACAAACAGCCATATATCTGGAGGTTTGGAAATTAGATCTTATTTTGTCATCAGAATTATTGTTTAAAATCATAAGTGTGCATCTCCCTGAAGACAAAGACATTACTAAATATGGAGAACTTGCATTTATCGATACCTAGAACATTCTCTCTCCAGAGTGAGCTTACCAAAAGTTTCCCTCCGTGAAGTGCTTTTACAATCATTCACACTGATAAATCTTATAGGGGTAAAAATCTATATATGGCGAGAATTGGAGTGAATTACATAGTTTATTTTAACGGGCACTGCACTGACCTGGGACTCACCCATACGGCAGTTACGTGAGGTTGTAAAGTGGATGGACTGTGTATTTTGTGGGCGAAACGCAGCAGACAGTTTACGCCCAGCTCCGTCCCACAAACAGCCATGGAGCGAGTGACCGATCTTATTTGCCCGCAAAATATACAGTCAATCCACTCGTTTAAATAGAGCCACGGGATCTTTAACATCCACCTGAACAGGCAGACGGGACCTCAGTTTAATGTCTCATTCGAAGGATTGTATCTCTAATATGCACCTCCCCAGCAATGCACTGGAGTGTCAACTCGTAAACTATGTGATCCCAAGTCGTCGTTTAATTCAGTTTAGTGTGAGCATCACCGTGTAACCGTACACTAACGGTCTTGGTCATTATCACCTTCATTGGCGGAGTGACAAGCTGTGACAAACTCCCTCCCACACACACACACACACAGTAACAGTCGTTAACAATCACTAAAATTCACACCACGTCTTTAAACTAACATTTCACACAAATATTTCACATCATTGTTTCCACTAACATGTCACACCAGTGTTTTGACTAACAAGAACCACCACAGTCAACGCCGCCTTTAAATACATTTCCGAGTTCAAATAAACACGGAGAGAGAAAAGTTGAGTGCGGATAAAACCAAGTGACCCAACAAAAAAAATCACAATCAACTCTTTTAATTTCAGTTCATAAAAGTTGTCACAACAGGAAAAGAGGTGAAATGGGATTGGAGGGTAGAGGGGGTGAGGGGGTCAAACATGTCCATTTCACAGCAGAGTCGTGGGAGTCCCAAGAGGTTATTTCTTATCAGAGTTGGAACTCAGCTTTCAGTTTAAGATTATAAAAGTCGCCAGGTCCCACTCACCCTTTTCGGTCGAGTATAATACGACCATCGCCACAACCGCACACGTCATCAGCGCCAGCAACACCGCCAGACCGATTTCCAGTGGTGTCCAGCTTCTCTTAACCGATTTGGTGGATTTCTCAACGATATCCATCTGGCTTTCCGACTTTCCCATGATCGTGACTCTTTTTAAAGAGGAAAGAGATCAGGGCTACACAGTTAGATACACAATATATATATAAATAGATTCACACACACATAATAATATATATATATATTTATATATAAAAAACTCTGATCTGAACAATTTACAATCTTACATTTTTTGGGGGCCACATCGAGATAAATATGTATATTATATCTACGTAGAAAAATGGAACGTATTACATGCATTTATCCGTTTGATCTTCCATTGCCCGTTATCTCCGGTGGCAGATGCTGACTCGCCGCAGCGCTCCGGTGGTGGCTACTGCTCCAGGATGTGGTGCTATCGATCCGCGCTGCGTGGGGGGGACCGGGAGTCGGGAGCAAAGCCGGTGCCATGTGCTGCCACTCGGGAATGCCACGGCTCACAACTAGCGAACGGTTAAACCCCAAAGGTTGGGATTTGAAGGACACATCAGCCAACTTTCTGTGAGGGTCTTGGAAGAAGTTGAGTGGGGTCTTGGCAGAAGTGGAGGGGGAATCTTGGAAGAAGTGGAGGGTGTCTTGGAAGAAGTGGAGGGGTCTTGGAAGAAGTGAACCTCTGATTTCCTCCCCACCTTCCACACACACACATTGAACGATCGAGTCCTTAATCCATTCTTTCTTTCGCCAGAGCTAAAGGAGGATTCAGAGAGGATTCGGGTTTGAGATCATTCCTGCGGGAGGCAGGGAGGTGGGGGCTGTTGGATGCATGTGAAATAATTCCTTTGGCTGTTTTCTTTCTCTGGAAACTCTGGCACAGCCATGGGAACTCCCCAAATTCGCAGCCAGAAGGAGTTGTGGATCACTGTCCAAACAGTCCCCCCAAACAGAGAGACAGAGATAGATAGAGAGAGAGAGAGAAAGAATTCACCAGACTCAACCCTACAGGAACCCTTATTAATTTCACATCACTTCCAGCCATTGGCTCTCATCGAACCTGCCTTCGATCCACCTGAGCTGGGATGTGCTTTGTAATCTGACTGCAATGCAGTTTCTTTTCAACTTTTAATATACTGTATATTGTTAGAGAAACAGAGGGGGGGGGGGGGGAGGGGAGAGAGAAATCTCGCTAGGAATGATCCCTGCTATGTAGGAATTTAAGGGGAGGGCGTGGGAGCCTTTGATTCCTTGTGAAAAGATCTGTAGCTTTCAACGTTGGCAAAATAACCAGGAAACAAGTTTATGGAAGTTGTAAATATTGGAATAATAATAATAAAAAACCTCGCATTTCATATAACGTCTTATTGTGTAACTTAGACGTCTCAAAGTGTTTCACAGGATATTAATGTAAAAGGGATGGACTGTGGATTCTATGGGTAAAATCCAGAAGTCAGTGTCCCACAAACAGTCATGGAGTGAGTGACCAATTTTATTTGGGAGATTTGTTGGTCAGGACACTGGGAGAAACTCCCTGGTCTTTTTGAATTGTGCCATGGCATCTTTAACGCCCACCTGAACAGGCAAACGGGACCTCAGTTTAATGTCTCATCCAAAGCACTGCACAAAATACAGTCAATTCACTTCACAATATAATCTGTGAAGCGCATTGAGACATCTCAATGACTTGATACAGCGCTATATCAAACGTGAGGATTATTATTATTTGCTTACACAATATAGTCACTATGCCAGGCTACAATGCACTTTGAAAGCACTTTAATGTTTAATGTTCTTTAATGTTCTTTCCATTCGACTAGTAAAATACTCTCACATCTGAGGAACCTGTTGGTATTGGCGTATTATTGCCTTTCAACAACAACAACAAGATTACATTTGTATAGCGCCTTTCACGTCGGGAGGACGTCCCAAGGTGCTGGACAGTGACAGCATTTCAGACCCGAGCTGAGGTCAGGGGGAGAGAAGGGAGTGGAGGGAAATGACCGATGGCGTGGTTGAAGAGGAGGATTTTGAGGTGGGTCTTGAAGGAGATTAAGGAGGGGGCAGACGCAGTGAATGAGGGATGGAGTTTCAGAGGTTCGGGGAAGAGTGGCTGAAGGGGGGGACATGGAGCAGGCCAGAGTCGGCGGAGGGGTTGGTAGGGGGTTAGGAGGTCGCAGAGGTAGGGTGGGGCGAGGCCATGGAGGGCTTTGCAGGTGAGGACCAGGATCTTGAACTGGATTCTCTGAAGGATAGGGAGCCAATGGAGTCGGGCGAGAGTGGGGGAGATGGGGTCATGGAGTTTGGTGCGGGAGAGGACACGGGCTGCAGAGTTCTGGATTATCTGGAGTCGGGCAATGTTATGGATGTGAAGGAAGGCAGAGCGGGTCATGGCTTGGATGTGGGCCAGCATTCAAACCAAGTGCTGGCCAAGGAGAACCATGAACATAATGAATCTGTCTGAATGATTTAGTTCCCTGGAGTTTTTGTGAGCTGGGATATAAAAAGATGATTGAAAACGTTGACCGTGACTTGACATTTGACTTGAAGACGTTGAATGAAACTTTTGGTATCTAAATACCTTTTTAATCAGTGATCGACGTGATTTGTAGCCTAGGTAAACCCAGAACTAATAAGAAAAGGTCTCCCTTTGGGATGGGAAAGGTCCCAGAACATCTTTTCCACACATGTTGTTTCAGTTAGTAAAGTCAAGGCCATAACTCATGCTATACAAATGTTGACTGTGTGGGGCTGGTGCTAAATATACACACGCACACTAATATCTGAGAGCTTGAAGGAATGGGAAGATGAACGTTTTTGTCGGGTCACAGTTTTAAAACAAAAATGTGGGATAATTCCACGTTTCAAGCCATTTATTCAACTCAAAGAGAATTGAAGAGGTGTGTGTGTCTGTGTGTGTGTGTAGTATTGAAGGGGTTTCATTTTTGCATCTGGTCCTATGCATTCAGATACTATGATTCTCTCTCCACTGATCTCCTTGTGCACAAAGTGATTTTCAAAAGCATTCTCACATTAACTAGAAATAGATACAAGAGTGACTTTTAAAGTAATGAAATCTCTCGCCCCAAAAGGCCAATTGCTGTAAATAACAACACCAGTCCTTGTCTTTGATTCAGTGCCTTTCGTGTTGTGTGGACGTCTCAAAGATTTAATCGTAAAGTGTAGCAGCCGTATATTTTGTAGGCGAATACTGCAGTCAATTTGCACACAGCAATGTCCCTCAAGCAGTGGGGTAGTGAATAACCAATTTTAATCGAGGGGTGGGGTTGTTGACCAGACACTGGGGAGAAATTCCCTCCTCTTTCCGAACAGCGTGGAGGGATCATTGAGGCAGATTAGACAAAACCTCAATTTGTAGCGAGGTAGAGAGTCTGGCAAGACTCAGGGTATTTCTTTTGAGTTCTAATCAAGGCAGAAAGGCACAGAATCTTAAAAGGGGACTCAATTAAATCCAATATTCATGCCTAATTGTCCATCATTACAGAAAATGGATTTTAGTAGCATTGCAGCTCTTTGTGATTAGTTCTTAATTGACTATCAGCAGGAGCCTCAGCATCGCAACTGATTTCCATATGAGCTCGGGAAGATTGCTTTGGGTGAGGGTGTTTGACATTACTTACATGATTCAGAATTGCTGAAGTATAATAAACAGATTTATCAAAACAAAAGATGTGCAAAGACTATTAACGACTCACCAGCTTTCTCGTCTCAGCTCAGATCGTTCTCTGATGATTAATTACCGAGCCACAGAAGTACTGAGGTGAATTGTGGCGTTAAATGAACAGGCTTCACTGTTTCAGCTTATGCTTTTGCGCATGTAATCAATGAATGTTTCAAGTCTCTGCACTTTGAAAAATAACAGTCTTTCAGCCTGCTCCGCACCACCCCCCCCCCCCCCCCTCGCCCCACACTCCCCCATCTGAAACCTTTAAAAGAATATTCACAAGTAATGATCATCAAGTGGCTGCTTTTTGTAAGCAAATGCAGTGACCAGTTTACTTGCAGCAAGAGCCAGGAGCTGAATGATGGACTGATCTGGAGATTACAACAACAAACTGCATTTATACAGAGCCTTTCATGTCGGGAGGGCGTCCCAAGGTACTAGACAGACGAGGGTTTGCAACCGAGCTGGGAGGGGGTGGATTCAAGAGCAGAGAAGGTGAGACGAGGGGAGGCTAAGGGATTCCAGGGTGGAGTTTCAAAGAGTGGGGAATTATGCTGTAAAAAAAAAGGCAGAATTTAGGAATGGTCGAGTTCCGATCCCTTGAAGCCATGTCCAGGTTGGTCTACAGCATTAATAATAATCACCACGGTGCTGGGGGCCATCCAGCCCCGACTAGAGGTAGTATAAAAAAGAGCAACAAACCTCACTTCGAGAAACTGTGGCTCCACAGGCTATACTGTAAACTGCAGTGACTGTTGTGTTTTGTAGGCAAACACACAGCCAATATTGCGAACAGCTGTCTCTCACAAACAGCCACGAATCCTAGATAATTATTTGGGGAGGATAAGTTTGCAGGGCTATGGGGAGGGCGCGGGGGAGTGGGATTGATTTGGATCGCTCTTTACAAAGAGCCGGCACAGACAGGATGGACCGAATGGCCTCCTTCTGTGCTGTATAATTCTATGATTCTATGAAGTGAGCGACTGATTTGACCTGGAGGGGATCGCCATTCAATCCTAAACACACCTTGCCGGTGTTACCTCTTTAATAGCATGCGTCAAAGCTAAGGCAATGCTCGCTGAGCCTTTTCAGATACACAAACGAGAATTCTCAATTACTCCCATTTCAGTCCATTCTTTGAGAACATATTGTGCTCTTCTCTCTCTCTCTTTCTCCCCCCCCCCCCCCCCCCCATTCTCCCTCCCCCGAATATTGCCACCTACATTTACACCACTCTCCTGGCAACCTGCGATAATAGCTCCAGTTCTGCATCTCAGCCTCCAGAAAAGGACTTAACAATTCTACTCGAGCCCGTGCACAGGGAAAAGGGGAAACAGGGAGAGAAACAGGGCGAGAAAGAGTAATAATGATCACATTCAGAAGCCTCCTCAATTCATCAAATAAATAAAAAGGACAATGCGTTCAACACGTTCCTGCAAAAGGGAATGGACGAGATGAAGGGAAAGAACACGAGAGAGAGATGGGGTGGGGGTGGAGGGGTGGGGAAGAGGGGGAAATAGACTTGTTATACTCACACAGTTCACCTCTCCGTTTTGCGGGAGGAAGCTGCAGGTGGGAGACAGCTGTCGAAAGCCTCCGACACAGCACCTCTGCCACTTTTCTCAAACTGCTGCTGAATTAGCAGCCGTGCATTCAGATGCAAATCGCCTTTAAGCACGCTCTCCCCGCCGACTCGCACCGGAAAATCTCGGGGACTTTGCCAGAGGTGGATCAGAATCCCAAATGCAGCCAGGGACCGATTTGAGGTGGGGGGCGGGCGGGCGGGGGTGGGGGGGGGGTGAAGAGGGGGGAGAGAGCTCGCTCGATTAGCTGAAATGACACGTGCAGATGGCAGTGACGGTCTGTGTCACACACACATACACACACACGCACACGCGTGCCTGCCTGGTGACACTCATCAGTTAACTTTCAAGTGGATCGGTTCCTTGCTTTGACCATTTATAGTGATGTGCATAATCGAATTTGCTGCGGCTGCCGGGCTCAGCCGGTAGCATTGTCTCTCTCTTGTTTGCTTCTGGGTCAGGAGGTTTGGGGGTTCAAGCCCCCGCGTCAGGACTTTTGAGCTCACAGTCTAAAGTTGACTCTCCAGTGTGTGTGTGTGTATATATGTTCTGAGATGCTGCCCTGTGGAGAGGGTGTTGCATAAGTGCAAGTTGTTGGTGTGCACGTGTGTGTGTGTGTGTGTGTGAGACACAGAGAGAGAGAGAGAGGTTCCATTCTTTTAACTTGTGGATTGTGAATTTCAATCACAATTTCAGCGACCACGGAAATCTCTGATCCCACTAAACTGCCAATCAAATTTGCTTCACGGAATCGGTCAACATCCACCAAATTTACCCGTGTTTTTGAGGGTGTTAAATTTCATCTCTCTTCCCTCCGACGGTCTGTGTTTTGACTGGAGTGGTGGTGGTGGGGGTGGGGGGGGGGGGGGGAGGGGGCGGGAGGTGAACCTTTAAAAAAAAAGTTGATTTAGTGGATTTAACAAAAAAAACAATTGTTTCTTACCAAAAATTTCTAAATTTAGAAAGCGTTGGACTGGGGTGGTGGTGGGGGGAGCGAGCGCCTGGCTCTCGCCTATATTCGGTTAAGTGGCCCCACTTCACGTGTGAGTCTAGGTGACAGAGGGTCAAGTGGCTGACATACCGTCATTGTAGACTTTGCTGGGTCCAAACTTGCTGCCAGATTTTTGCCCACAAATGAATACAGTCGTTTGCACTTGACAGCAATTACCTACGAAGTGCTCTCTTTCTCGCTCCCCCTCTCTGTTTCTCTTCCCGTTTTGCCCGCACCGTTGTTGCTGAACCATTTGCCTCTTCCCTCCCCGAATCCAACGAATACCATTTACTAGTGGTTGTAATTGGACTGCAGAGCGGAGGTGTGAGAGCTCCCCAGGGTAATTAGCTCACTAAACACTGCCAACACACACTTTTGCTATTTCAGGCAATCAGAGTGTTATGGCAGATCAAAAATGGAGAAGCATCATCATCATTATCATCACGTTCACATTATCTGTACACACAGGTCCAGTGTTTGGTCACTGATCGCTTCGAAACACCACCAACAATAATAATTATCCTTGCCTTATCACGTCTTCTAGACGTCTTAAAGCGCTTCACAGAATATACAGTAAAGTGAATTGACTGTACATTTTGTGGGCGAAACACGGCAGCCAATTGTGCACAGCAGTGTCCCACAAACAGTCGTGGATTAAGTGACCAAATTATTCTGTTGGAAGGGATTATTATTAATTACCCTCTGAGTGAAAGGACTTTCTCTCTCCCCACCAGTGTCCTTGGCCAACAATCTCCCCAAAGAAAAAAAAACGGCTGTTCACTTCGTGGCTGTTTGTGGGGCATCCTGTGTGCAAACTTGCTGCCGTGTTCGCCTACAAGAGCCACAGTCACTACACTTCACAGAGTCTGTTGTGAAGCGATTCGAGATGTGCTGATGTTAAAGACTCTGTACCGCAAGGATTACTTTATAATCAGAAATTCCTTCTACCACCCCCCCGCCACCCCACCCACAATTTTTTTCTGTAAACAATCCAGAGGCCGTACCCTCTTGTCACACTAAATGAATTAATTTCCCTTTCCCCACCACCCACCACTTACATCCCCCCTCCTCCCCCCACCCCCATCATTTACCTTATCGCTCCTCTTCACAATCTGTTCAGAGACCTCAGAAAAGGAGCTGAAAGACACTTCACACAACCTGGCAAATTGACTACAATGGCAGCATGACACCCGCTTTATGCTGTATGTAAAACGACTTATTATCATTCCGTATTCGCTAACCCGAAAGCGTGATTCACAAAGTCCTTTGATCATCTGTTCAAATTATTCAAATGTGCAAGGATTGGAATCTGCAGAAACAAGGTGATCAGGCGACCGGGTTTGTGAGGCGGGGGTGGAGGGGGAGGGCGGGCAAGGAAGGGGGGGGGGGGGGGTTCGGGGAGAGGTAACCTGGCCGAGGTACTTAAGATTGCGAAGGGTTTGAAAATTCTTTGATTCAAGTTTTTCTGCTCGGTACATAAAAATTCAATAACAATAAGACTTTGTGTCAGACTAACGAAAGACTGAGTGAATGCAGGAGATGTGCTTTTCTTTAGTTAAAAGGCAGAGAACAACCCTTTTATTCGGTACACTGCTAATAACACTCAAATGCAGCAAAGTGCTTTGTAGGTGTGCGTTGTGAGAGAGACAGACAGACGCTGGCACTGTGTGCGTGTGTGTATAGACTGTATGTCGGGGTGACGGAAGGATGGGGGGGGGGAAAGAAAGAGCGGGAGAGACCAGCGTAGAGCACCCGCTTACACGCTTAGAACACGGGTTCGTCATACATCCCAATCAGCAGCGCCCCATAAACAGATCACCAGCAGCAAAGTGGGCAGGGAATGGCATTTGCAGGAAGGTGGGTGTTTTTATTCCGAGCTGCTCACGTGGATGGACCCAAACTTCAATTGCAATTTCTGTCCACTTCTTCCACACACTCAGTGCTGATAATTAGAGGAATGCCTAACTGCCCTGACAACGAGCCATTATAAGTGTTTGCACTTGAATTTTTTTTATTTATTCAGTGATACCCTGTGTGCCAGAAGGTTAAATAACAGAATGAACCCTCAGAGGAGGAATAATAATAATAATAATAATCCTTGCACTTGATATAGCGCTTTTCACGTCGGGAGGACGTCCCAAAGCGCTTCACAGAACACACTGTAAAGTGAATTGACTGTATATTTGTGGGCGAACGCGGCAGCCAATTGCGCACAGCAATGTCCCACAAACAGTCGTAGATTGAATATGACCAATTTATTATTATTTTTGGTTTGGGAGGGATTATTATTAGGCTCTGTGTGGAGTAAGGAAACTTGCCCAAGGTTTCGCCCTCTGCCTGGAATTGAACTCAGGTCTCTCGCTTGCAAAGCGAGTGCTCTAACCACTGAGCTACAGGACGCCACAATGTGAGAGAGAGAGAGAGAGGTTTCGAAATGATAAGGCGCTATGTCAAATTCAAGGAGAGAGAGAGAGTGTGTGTGTGTTTGAATTAGATGGAGACAGCACACTGAAGAAGTTTACTCCAGGCAAAACACATTAATTGGGATTAGACAATATTCATAAGATCAAAACATGAACATTACGGGATTGAAATTCCCATCTGGGTCCAAATCCGGCATTTCGGAGCATCAGGAATTTTTGGCAAATTGTTGAACTCAGTCTCAGCTTTGAAGTAGATTTTCCTGCGTTTTCTTAAATGCCTTACAGAAAAGCGGCTTCGAAATTAAGTCTGGATTTAAAAACCTGCCAAATTTGGGGGCTTTAGAAAGCCGACGTGCACAGAGTACAACCTCGTGTCGGGTGGAGTTCCTCGATCAGGCAGGAACGGACCATTGTGCCAAACAAAATTGTCAAGTCCCTTTCAAGTAGTCAGGGGTTCAAACGGAGGAGGGTTGTTGTTGAATGCTGAGGTCATGGAGTTTGCTGCCTAGTAATAAGTCACAGAGAGACACACACGCACACACACACACAGTTGAAGCTTTCCTCGTGGCGCTAAATTGCGACTCACATCGAGACGGTCTGAAAGGCGTCGCACAAGAGGTTTGCCTTAGCGGTTCAGAACTCGTTCTCTGGGGCTCGATCAGCACCAAAATCCCGCAGGCCATCAGTCGTGGGGAGGTGCTGCTAGTGAACCACACAGCCTGAAGCTTCCCGCTTGATCCTGGCCTTCAGCCTCCTGAGCTCAACGTTGGCCTCGTCCACCACCATCCCACTGTCCGCCAGGCGCCAGGCGTCCTCGAAAAGCCCCCGCTCGAAGCTGCTCAGAGCCGCGTGGTGGAAGCGCTGGGACAGGCTAAGCCGGCCCGGCCTGCGGGCGATGAGGGCCAGAGCCGCCGGCCGGTCCAGGCGCAGAGCCTCCGCGTAGTCCTCGCACGCCTCGCGGTCCGGAGGACGAGGAGCCGGACGTGGCCCCTGGCACAGTAATCTTCCACTGGCTCGGGGGAGCGACCCTGCTCGATGAGCTGGCTCAGGTCGCCCAGGGCCCTCTCGTACTGCTTCAGCCTGGCCAGGCACGTCGCCCGTGCACGCACGTACCTCGCCCTGTCGCTGGCCAGCACGGCCAGAGTGTGACACCTCAATGCCTTCTCCTGGCGATTTTCTTTGGCCAAGGCGTTCGCCTCCTGAGACGCCACCTGCCACACCCAAACATACAAGAGAATCAAGTTCACGTTAGTCCGGTCTCCTGCTTGTCCCTCGTCCCCTCCCGCTCCACTCCTCTCCGCTCTCGGCAGACGCACTTTTAGCCACCACTCCCTCTGAAGCTTTGGAATTCTCTCCCCCTCTCCCCGCACCCCTCCACCGTGCCAACCCCTTCCCCTCTTTTAGAACGCGACTGACGACCTTCCTCTTTGTCAGCGCTTACCAGCCGCTGTTAAGCGCTCCGATACACTGCCCCGCACGAAAGGGAGCGCAAGTTGCTGTTGTGGCTTTCGTGGTTGTTTGAAGGTTACCGCGCTGACTTGTGGGACCTGGGCAGAGGAACGGGAACAATTCCAGATGATTGCCATTAAAATGCACCAGGAGTAATGTGTATAGCTCTGGTCACCGTGACATAAAGGGGACATGGGGCCTGCTCAGGCCCTAACAGGCCGTGCAGAGAAGAACGTTAAGATTGATCACCAGCTTCCCGTTAAGAGGAACAGACTTAAGAACATATTCGAGAGGACCCTGACTAAAACAAAGGGGCTCCGATCTTTTCCAAAAATGGGCCCCAGTGAAAGTTGCAGCAATTGAGAGTCAATCAGGGTAATTTGGAAACCCCATTAGATATTCCAAGCTTCAAGAAGATATGTTGGCAGAGCTCCCAGAACTTCCTGGAAGAGTTCCAGTGACAGTGTTTACCCTCTGGCTCTCTCAGTCCCACACATTGCTTTGGTGCAATTTACACGTTCCACGCAGGGCCTCTCCGTTTGCCTGGCAACCCTACCTTTGCCAATCAAGGACCCAAACTCAGCTGCTCCGCCCCTTACCTGTGGAACTCACTCTCTCCCTCTACCACAGGGCTGCGAAAAGGTGGAGTGCTCTGCCCAGACGAGTTGAAGAGGTGGACTTAATGGGGAAGCTTATACAGACAGAGAGTTAAGCAGAAGAGGTATTAAAGGGTATGGCATTGGAATTAAAGATTTGCCAAGATCTAATGTAGTGGAATAGACTTGATGGGCTGAATGACCTCCTTCCATGCCTGATCCTCTTTGATTTGATCGTTGAGTAACCGCAGGGTTAAAGACTCTCGGGAGAGTCAGATATTTTGAATTACAGTAAGTCTGGGAGCCGCTGTAGAGAGAGGTGAGAGCTTCAAACCAAATAAGGAAAATAAGGCACTGGTTCCTATACTTTCCTGTGATGAGTTGTATTGCCAGGAATGTGACAGGGAGCACAAGACTAAGACGGACAGCCCCTAGGCCTGCTTTCTCAACTACAACCACTGGATGAAAACTATTTATTGCTATTCCACACCACTAAGGGTTTGCTCTTAAATAAATAAAGTCATGAGTTGGAAGAATCAACCTAGGGTTGGCCCGCTCAACAACGACCTGATAAGAAGGGGGTTAAAAAAAAAGTTTACTGTGGCTCGGAATCTGAAATAAGTAAAGAACTCACATTTGTATAGTACTTTCATCACTTACGATGCACCTCAGAGCGCTTCATGATTAACTGCTGTCGAGTACAGTGCCCTGTTTTTTTTAAAAAAAAGGCAAACGCAGAGGCCATTTTTCCCACAACAAGGTCCCACAAACAACCTCGAGGTGAACGGCCGACCTATCTGTAGGATTACCGGCTCGGACAAGATGGGAGAAGGTCTCCTTGCAATTAGAGTCAGAGTCAGTAAACCTAGCCTTGTGTCTCAGTCACTGTGTACATCCAAACCTTGGGCTTTCACAAACACCCAGTGCTATAAGGGAACCAGAGTTACGGCCTGAGTAGAACAGTAATTAGCCTTGAATCCCCTCGCTCTGCCACCACCACCCAAAAAATCTTCACTGTGCAAAATAGCAACCACGTTTGCCTACACCCCTCCCTCCCCACCCCACCCACCCCCCAGATAATACTAGGAGGAGCTCCATGTAAAGTGCTTTACGAGGTTACACAAATGCTGGTTCATGTACTTCGGTTGATTTAGGCAGAAAAATAGTTACTGAAGCAACTCCTGAAAGCTGGAGGAGCCTATCCATCCCATAGGTATGACGGATTAGGTATTAGGTTTACTAGCTCCCACCCACAACCCTTCAGAGAAGGGGATTATCTTCATCAATTAACTCCGCGCTACAGAGCACTGGGAAATAGAAAACAAGGAGGACAGGACGTTAAGCAGGAGGCAGTTTCGTGCCTGTTGTGCAGATACTGGACAATAATAATGATAATAATAATAATCACAATAATGCCATTCGCCTAGAACTTCAAAACACCTCAAAAGAACTTCACAGAAATTGCCGCCAGAGTATTTTTAGGTGAAAGCAATGGCCATTTTGTGCACAGCAAAATTCCCGCAAACGTGACTCAAAGCAATCGACCATTTTCTCTGGAGGGTTGTCGGGCCCACACAGCGGGAGAGAAACTCGCTTCTCTTTTCTAATTGCGACACGTAATCGTCAGCAGAGCCTTCGGGTTTAAGGTCTCATCCGAAGGACGGCATCCATCAACGAGGGAGGCAGATTTCTGTAGGTTATTGTACGTGGACCACCAATGGGGCAAAACTCTTCACAACAAGTCAGACTCTTATAGTTGTTGACGGAGAGGAGGTGGAGAGAGGGAGGGAGGGAGGGAGGGAGAGAGAGAGAGAGAGAGAGCGCAAACTCAGAACCTTTAGTGCAACACTGATGGATAGGTCACATTGCTCATTAATTCACCTGCTGCAAAAGCACACTCTGCCTCCCCGACTCCACTTTTAAATCAATCACTTCAATAAACAGCAGTCCATTATACTAATTAGCCGACGCTTTTAACGCCAGAAGCTCATGGCTAAAAACTTTGCAGAGAGAGAAAAAGAGAGAAAGGGGAAAACAGCAAATAATAAATGGTGGCACTTTGAGTCTGAACTGCTGAGGCCTATACACAGTCACATACAAAATGCACCTTACGGTAAATCCTGTGAAGGGCTTCGAGACGTCCTCTTGACGTGAAAGACGCCACGAAATGTGCAGAAGTCGTAGTAAATGTATGGTCCCAAATAATACGACTCGTGTGAGATTTACTGTTGTTTTCTGGATGAAGGGGGACACGTTCTACTGAATTAATGATAGAATAAACAACCCCAGTTGCGAGGTGGCTGAACGATAGCTAGGAAGCGCTATGGTGTGGGTTGGGAAGAAAAAGTTCCAAGTCTACGATCTCTCTTACCTGAGCGATGAGGCGCCGCACTTTGATATCCAGGAATCCCAAAAGAAATCCCAAATCCCGGTTGTCCCTCTCGGCCAGGGAGCTGAGGTTCTGGGTGGCCAGCTGTAGGTTGCCCTTGGTGGCCTGGATGATGCCGTACCTGGCCTTGGCGCACACATTCCCGAGGGAAGTCCCGAAAGCCTCCTGCAAGTCTCCCAAGGCGTCTTCGTACATTCCTGCAGGAAATCCGACCCAGGTCAGTCAGGATCGCAGGTAATAAGAACATCAGAATTGCTCGACCAAAGTAGCGTATGTAGTGATTATGTGTTTACGGTTCGCAAACCCACCTTCAGCAATTGATATGTCGACGCCCAGAAGGTGCCAGGCTGGATTATTCTCATCGATGGTGAGTAGAGATCGACTGATCACCTGAAGATTGAGCAGCTCCTCTGGAGCCAAGCTCCCTCTGTTAGCCGCTTGGGCCCCAGTCAGGCTCCTAGTGCAGTGCTCGTGCAGCCAGCCTGTGATCAGGGCCTGGGCCTCGGGCCTCAGAGACTGCACCTCACCGAGAGCCAGGGTCTGGTCCGCCTTCAGAGCCAGGACCATGTCCTGAACCGCTTCCTGTGCGCCAAACAGAAGGAAGATTCAGAACGAATCTACGGAAAAGCTACTTCAGTGAACGAATAGTAAACCCGTGGAACAGGCTCCCTCGGGAGACGGGAAATGTTGATTCCTTCAAACTCAGATTGGACAGTTTTCTTTTAGGAAATAACATTACAAGATATAGTGCATCGGTAACTCGGGACATATGTGCAAACAACCACCAGGAAGGTGGAAGACATACTCGGTAGAACATGGTCTCTTTTTCGTCCAGTATTTCTTATGTTCTTATGCAAAATTAGCCGCACAATTTGGCCACCGCATTCACCTACAAAACACAGTCACTGCACGTTACAGTGAATCCTGCGAAGCGGTTTGGGACGTTCTCCTTGCCTCCAAGGCAGGAGAACGACATCAACACCTTGAATAGCTTTTTAATAAACAGGCAATTTGCCGTGAATCCCTGCCTGCCGTGAATTATTCAATTCTGGGTAGAGACACGAGCATTAATCATTCATAATGGAAAGCAACGTTCAAAAGGCACAAGGGATTAAAATGCATCAAAAGAAACTTTAGGCAGGTTCGACAACACAGCGTAGGCCACAAGACTCAAAAACACCTCAACCCAATGATCAGTATTCCTCCCTTTCTAAACCTCTCTCCACTCCCCCCTCCTCCGCAGACGCAATGCATTTCGGAGGGGGATACCGGGGGATGAGGGACTTGAAGTCCCTTAAATCATAAGACAGGCAGAACCTAAATTAACAATCATAATAAACCCAAATGTGAAATAATGGCTAAACTTTAATTTAATTCAAAGCACTGTGATATAGGCAAAGCCAACACTTCTGGGACCAACAGTGAGATCAGAGGGCAACTTTGCTGATTTGTTTGAGGGGGGGGTGGGGGGGGAGGTTGGGGACATGTGAGAGAGAGGGAGAGGTGGGGCGTGAAAGAGACCGAACACTAGGATTTCTGAAAAACAAGGAAAGAATCCATAAAAAAATTGAAGAGGGTTTGAGGAAGGGGGTGGGGGGAGAAGAGAGGAGAGTGAAAGGGAAGAATAGAAGAGGGAAAGAGAGGGAGGAGGGATAAAATGAGCAACTATTACCATGTAATTATGGTGCTCTCTGTCCACACAAACAACTAATGCACTGTTTATTATCTCTCTCACTCACACACTGAGATGCTCCATGGCTTTGGGCTGTTTGTTTAATAAGCACCATAGGTTCCGATGCTTTGAAAGGAAAATTATTTCGTTACGAACAAGGCCGGGCTTTCAGGTAGACGTCTTAAATTAAGTTTGTGGTCGCTGAGGGAAGGGAGATGGGCTGGGGGCGGGTGGGTGGGGTGGGGGAGAAAGAGTGAGAACCATTTTCATCCAAACAAATTCAAATCACTTCTGCTAATGGGCTCAATGAAGGGGTTGTGGAACCAGTTATACTGAGCCCGAGGTCACTGCTCAAACGATGTGTAGCCCCCCCCCCGCCCCCCCTCTTTAAACCCCTGCACAAAAGGCGGTGGGTGGGGGGGCTTTTGATTTTAAAGCCTCGTCCGTGACCTTGATTTGTTTTGTATTTCAGTACCTGGCTTTGTGAATAGCGGCAGCACTGAAGTGGGAGTGGGACAGGCTTTTAGTGCTCTTAATTTGATCTTACATCAATGCAATACAGAGGCAGAAAGAGAGAGCGAGAGAGAGAGAGAGTGTGTGAGTTCATCAGGAAAGTCAACAGAGAAGTCTTCCGAAGGCTTCTCTGAGGAGAGAGAGCCTCAAAATTTTCCTTTCCTACAAGCTGCTCAAGAAGTCCCGTTCGCCCCAGTTTTTCTTTTGCTCTATAGTGCACCGACCAACGACTGAAACATACGGAATGGATTTGCTGTAGAAGCACTTGATTGCATTCAGCGCAAGTGTTCAATTGTACTTGGACGTCCAGGGGAAATCGGTGTGCATGAGTACGAGTCATTTTCACGGCAGATAATGACCCCTCGCCCTGTTCTGTGCCACACTGCTCGTAACATGGACGGCTGGAGAAGAGGAGATGAAAAGCATCTCCGTGCAGCTCGTTTCAGCAGCTCCGCAGCCTTGCATCGCTGCTCCCGCTAATTCGCCGGACCGCACGTTTTGCGAAGCGCTTCGAGACGTCTCGACGACGTGATGAAGCGCTGCATCAAATGCAAGGGATCGCTATTGTCGTGTGATGAACGACAACAAGGATATTTTTGTATCGCGCCTTTCTCACGTTAGGAGGACGTCCCAAGGCGCTGGGATGGGCAACGGGAGTTTGTTTCCTTGCCGGTTCTCTTCCCCTCCTCAAACCAATTCCCGCCTCAGGCCCAGCACAGGCGGCATCAGGCTGGCGACCGACCTACTGTACCTTCTGTTTGCAAAGGATGGCGTAGGTAAATGCTCGGCCGCAGAGCGCCTGCACGTGGTTAGGGCTGGTCTTCAGAATGGACCCGAAGTCAAAGATGGCCGTTTTCTTCTGGTTCAGATGCGAGTAGCATCGGGCTCTTGTCAGGAGAGCATCTGACGCAGTGCCTCCTAGAGGGAGAGAGCGAGCGAGCGATTCATCGCCGGAGAAAATACCCCACGCGAAGTTGGCACCCGCCCCGATCCCGAAAGAATTGAATAATAAGAATAATCCTCGCATTTTTTTATAGCGCCTTATCACGCCATTGATTGAGATGTCTCAAAGCGCTTCGCAGAATATGCTGTAAAGTGGGTTGATTTTACGGGTGAAATCTTTCTTTTTTTAAAAACAAAATTTGCATTTTTACAGCCCCTTACGCCAAAACATCTCAAATCGCTCTACAGTACGTACTGTCAAGTGTAGGGACCATTTCTGCAGGTAAGCGGAGGAGCCATTTACCCAAGATCCCACAAATAGCCCCAAAGCAACAGACGCATTAATACGGGAGATTGGCAGCCAGGCTACTGGGAGAGAGGAACTCCCTTGTTTTTTCCCCAATAGCGCTGTGTGATCTTGAAGGTCCACTCAGAGACCCTGTCCAAAGAATGGTACCTCCGTCACTGCAGCTCCTCCCACCCCCACACCACCTCAATTTGGAGCTGAGATAAAGATCAGCTATGATCTAATAGAATGACGGAACGGGCTTGATGGTCTGAATAGCCGACTCCTGTTCCTATGTCCTATCACTGCATTAGAGCGTCAGCCTACACTTGGGAGGTTTGAACCCACAACCTCCTGATCTGCAGGTGAGCATGCTACCAACAGAGCCAGGCTTCGAAGACGCGCTCAAACCTCTGGCAGATCTGGGAGCGCGGTGTTGTCTGCACGGCACAGCGGGGGTTAATTTAACGTGTTATCAGAAAGATTCATCTCAGAGAGAGAGAGAGAGAGAGAGAGACACAAATGTCCCATTAGCTTTCAGCCCCACTGAAATCAGTCAAGCCTCAAATCACCCGAGCTTGCAGCTAAAGGGCCGTTTCCATAATGTCCTCCTCACTTCGCTCGGCTCCCATTTGACTTGATTAATGCTCTCAATTCCAACGCCACATTCAGTTGACGGATGAGACTGTGCTCCGGTCAGGCCCGACCTGGAGATTTATTGCTCTAAAGTTGTGATAAGTAGAGCATTAAGCGATCGTTTATAACTTCTGTTCTTTCAGAAGGATATACGTGTTTATCCAACCCCCACCCCCCACCGCCTCCCCACTGCCTCCCTCTACCAACCCTCTCTCTTCCCCCTTGAAACGCAGCCGCCCGTGCCTCAATGCGTACAGCACATCGGACAAACTTCTGGAAGCTCTTTAATGCACGATGGAGAGCGATGGTGACTGGAAGCATAGCCAGGATTTTAAAGAGGGAGGGAAGGGGCAAGGCAAAGGGAGATTTTGAGAGAGAGAGAGTTGGAGAGCATGAGCACAGAGATCGGAGAGAGTGAGGGACCTACAGTAAGTTGGAAGGGGCAAGGACTGAAGAATTGAAGCATAAGTGAGGAACCTCAAGGTTGGTTGAGATCCATCATGGGACCACACTGAGCAACAATGTGAGAGCATCAGCGTAGACAACGGATCCCAAGGCAATATTTCGAAAAAGGGACTTTCTCCCTGCGTCCGGGCTAACATTCCCCCCCAGAATTAAAAACAGTCAATTCACTTCCTGGCTGTTTGCGGGACGATGCTGCGCGCAATTGGGCTGCCGCGCTCGCCTACAGATCCACAGTCACTCAAATTCCCAGGAGAATCCCGTGAAGCGCTCAGAGACATCGCGATGACATGACGAGCAAAGGATTATTATTTTAGGAGACGGACTGTAGTTGAGTGACAGACCCTCACCCGAAGAGATGATGGCAAGAGAGAGATATGCCACAGCTTCCTTGACGTAAGTGTCCCCTTCCTTGTTCTGCAGGATCGACATCGCGTTGGAGTGGCAATGTCTCTCCATCAATGCCCGGTCGTCCGCCTTGAAGATGTCCATGATGGGCAGCAGACAGGAGGTGTCCCCGATCTGAATCACTTTCTTGATCAGCTGAAAGGCAAAGCAGAACCAATTGTTTTGCCCTCTTCCTTCGCTCCAATTCTCTCCCCTCTTCTAGTGGGGTATTGGGAGGTAAATCCTCGTGTATTAATGGAGCTAAACATTCCGAGCACAAACGAGTTCTGAACCCATTTGCCGTTTGCCTACAAATACACAGCCACTGCATTTCACAGTAAGTCCTGTGAAGCGCTTTGAGATGTCCTTCTAATATGATAAGATACTATATGAGATGCAAGGATTATTATTATTATTAATATTTGGTAGTGTTTTTGACACGTGCACTGGGCATTTTCCGCCAATCAGAGCACCAATAGACACAACCCTACAATTTACACACTCCACACCTTTCAAGTAGGGGCAATGTCTTGGAGCAATTTACAGAGTGCGGATGGGAGCCCAGGCGTGTGTCTGGGGGAGGGTTGTGTGCGCGGAAGCAAAAAGGTGCGGCCAACGAGAACTTCAAACGGGATTTGAAAGCATAGAGGGAAGGGGCGAGGCGGAGGGATTTTGAGTGGGTTCCAATGGGGGTGTGGTTGGGGGGTAGGGGGGCAAAGTTGTTGAAAGTGTTGAAGGCAATGGTCAAGGGGGGGGAGGGAAGGAGAGCGAGCGGTGGCATGAAGCAGGCTGGGCTTCAATGAAACAGGAGTGGGCATGAGAGTAGGGTTGCAAGTGCCACGTCCAGTGTGGGCAATGTCCAGGCAAACCTGCTGTGCAGTCACTGTGGCGGTGCCTGTTTTAAGTTGCAGGTTACAGCGCCCCCCCGCGGCAGCAATTGAGTGCAACACTATCCTGGGGTGGGGGGGGGATACGTGGTTAGAGCGCCTTCTGGTGGCTACACCTGAGTGCAACTGGTCCGGGGATGGATGAGGAATCTGTGGTCATAGCTCCCTCTCGTGGTAACGGAAGTTGGATCAGGTCACAACAGCAGGGAGATTGCCCCCCCCCACCCCATCAACCCTTTTGTCCGGTCACATCACACAAGGCCTTTGACTCCTCTTTCCAGTTGACGCTGAGCCCAGTTATTGGGACACGGTACCTGGTTAGCGTCGTACAGGAAGCCTTTCTTTAGCTGAAGCAGGGCAAGCCGGGCCAGCACCGACGGTCGCTGCCCTGTGCTGTTCAGAGAGACCAGCAGGAGTTTGTGAGCCTCCTCCACGCGGTCCAGCTGGTACAGAGCGTCCGCCGACAAGATTCGGGACTCGACGTCCGAAGGGTCCAACTCCAGCAGCATCGAGGCCAAGCTATGAACCCCCAGCACATCTCTGGAGCGAGGCAAAGAGCCACGGTTTAGTCCTGGTTTCAATGGCCGCCCGTCAGCCGCCTCCCGAGAACCACAAACCCCGCAGTGTCACAGACCAGAATAAGGCCATTTCGCCCACAAAATATCCAGTCGATTCCCTCTCTTCCGCCGCCCTTTGGCACTCCATCCCACAGTCCCTTCGTCTCGCTACCTCCCTCGCCTCCTTCAAGGCCCGCCTCGAGACCCTCCTCTTCTATCTCGCCTTCGGCCACCCTCCTGCCCTTACCTTCCCAGCCCTCCACCCCTCCTGATCCCAATCCCCAGCTCGGAACCAAATCCCTGACTGTCCAGAGCCTTGGGACATTCTCCCACCGTGAAAGACGCAATCTGTTGTCGTTTGACTGTACAAACTTACCCCTCTTTGAAGAAGGCGTTTTGGAACCCTCGCTCGGCTCCCTGCTCCCCCCTGGCCGTGGGGCTGGCCAGCGGCTGGGAGGCTTTCCCCCGAAGGATCTTCTGCCCTTCCTCTTGGAGCACCTTGAAGAGCAAACCTCGGAGGTTCCAGGGCACATAGGACTTGGTCACGAGGGCCGTCTCATCCAGCCGGAGCCGGCAGGCCGTGATGTAGTCCAGCGCGGCGAGATAGTTGCTGCCGGCCACCATTCGTGTCAGGCCCCGGCCACACAGTGCCTTGACACAGCTGCCGGGGTGGGGAGAGTCGTGTTCCAGCACCGCCTGGAAGTCCTCCAGGGCCTCGGAGGTCTGGAGGGCCCGCAGGTGGCAGAATCCGCGGAGCGCCAGGATGGTATTGTGGTAGGTTTGCCGGTCGGAGTCCAGGAGTCGCTCGCAGGCCCGCAGGGATCCGGCGGTGTCACCGGACAGGAGGGCACAGTCGGCCAGTCGGATCTGCAGGTCCCGGTTGTTGTCCGGCTCCAGGCGGAGTACGAGTCTCAGCACCGGGAGGACCTGTGCCAGGAGCTCGGCCCCGCCCTCGCACCGCAGCTCCACCCTGCACCTCACCGTCTCCCGGTACTCGGAAAAACGCGACTCTGCGAAACGCTTGGCGTGATCCAAGATGGCGGTCGCGTCCTGGGGCGGGAAGAGCTCCCGAAAGCGCCGCTCGGCCAACCCCGGGGAGACCTCGAAGGCTGAGGCCAGATCCAACACGGCGTCGCTCTCCCCAGCGCCCGCCGCGTAACGCAAGGCCGCTCGCTCCACCAGGATCTGGGCCGGGGTCCCGGAATTCGAGGTCTCGGCTTTGCCGGGGTCGGGGCGGGGATGGGGGTCGGGGTGAGGGTGGGGCAGTGCCCTGGGGGCTACTTCCTGCAGGAAGTGTTGGCAGTCGCTCAGCAGGTGGCTGGGGGTGTCCTGATCTCGGTGATGGTGCGAGACGTAGTCGCAGAAAGCCTCCACGATGCGGGGCAAGTGGTCCCTCTGCCTGGTGGTGATGAAGTCCAGGGTCTCCTCTCGCCGATTGGCAAAGGCCTGGAGGTAGTCCACCACCCCGTTCCTGCCGTGTCGCCCGGACAGTACCCAGGCCAACGCCCGGGTCAGCAGGAGCTGGAGCTGGAGCGAGCGTTCGGGGTGAGCGTTCAGTAGGGCGTTACAGCGTCCGATAGCTTCCTCGTGCCTGCCGCCTCGCACTAGGGCATCCACCGCCAGCGTCGAGCTCAGGGGCTCATCGGAGAGGAAGACCGCTGCCACCCCTATGTTCACCGGTGGCCCCTGCGAAGCCATCTGGTCCTCGCTCAGCCCGGACCCCGGCTGGACATTGCCGGGGGAGATTCCAGGGTGACCTCGGGGCCCGACATCCGTCGCCGAGCCCGCCCGCTCGGTTAGTCCTTCCTTCCACATCCCGGACGCCCCTTCGCCAAGCCTCGGAAATGGAAATCTACCCACAGGCAAATAAGTCGACGCGGAAGCAGGAAATGGAGAGGCAAACGAGAAGATTAGATCTTTATAAATAGTCAGCGTCGTCCTTCGCCTGACGATGGGACAGGAAGAGACTCGCGCCTTCAAACCGCGAGGAAAAACGGCCCACAGGCTCGGACGGGGTGGAATTTCAGCCTCCTCGGCCCCGCAGGGTCAAAGACCCGAGCCTCATCCATCGATGGGCCGGACAGGTGTCGCTAGCCATATCTACGGAGTGAAACCAAAATGAGTTAACATCAACTCGTTTACCTCTCTCCACAGACGCTGCCCGAGCTGCTGTGTACCTGTTCCCAGCGACTTCTGCTTTTATCGGAGACTTCCAGCACCTGCAGGATTTCGCCTTTTGTCACTATCGAGCCTGGAGCAGATTTAATTGTCTGCTGCTCTCGAGATCAGTTTCACCCCAGAAAGAGATCTCCTCCCACAGAGGATCTCCCTCCCTCCCTCCCTCCACAGCAAAAAAACAAAACAAACCCCAGACCTGGAAGGATGAAGGGACCTGGTTGGATTTGAACCCAGAACCTTCAGCGTCCAGTGCTCACCTCACCTGACCGAGCCACCCCAGAATGTCATGACAACGCAAAAACAGAGACGAACAGTGGTGGGGTGACACCAAAGGGAACCGGGCGCTGCCCTGTAACTCGGCTCCTGAGCTGAGTGAAGAGGAGATAGAGTGAATAGAGGAGACTGTCGAGAAATGAATCGAACGCGCTGATGAAATATTCACGACATCTCCCTCGAGGCAGTGAACGCATCGGGCTGGGTGTCTGGCACCCGCAACCCGTCCAGGTGATGAATGCATCCCGGCTGTGTGAGGTACACACGTGTGCGTGCGTGCGGCGCGCGTGCATGTGTGCGTGTATGTATGTGCGCGCGTTTGTCACGGCTGTGCCTGTATTTGAGTGTGTGTGTGTGTGTGTGTGGTATAAAGCTGCATTGCCCTATATGAATGTATGCAAGCATGCGTTGGTAAACATGTGCACACACGTGTATGCGTGATTCTCGTTTGCCGACAAATACACAGTCACTCCATGTTGACAGTAAATTCTGTAAAGCGCTTTGAGAGGTCCTTCCAATGAGATAAGGCACTGTACCAAATGCAAGGATTATTATTACGTGTGTGTGTGTGTGTCATACACCCACACAGATACACATGTGCTTCATGTGACATTTCACGCCACTTGGCAAATTGAATATCCATAAAATTGAGAAGAAAATGGATCCCTGTGAGGTTCCCTCCCTCTCTTTCCCACAGAGGCAGTCTGTCTCTGGTTAAACAGATGGGAGGGAGCCTGTTCCTCATTTCAGAACCTCAGATCAACAGCTTTTCCCAGAGATTAACCTGGAAACTAATCGAAACTGACAAACTGTATGTCCTTATTGCGGTATTTCTTAATAAGAAATCTGAGTTGCATCATTATTACATGATACACGTGTGTGTGTGTGTCAAACAAGCACACACATATAATAATAAACCTTGCATTTGGTATATCACATCGAAAGGACGTCTGAAAGCGCTTCACAGGATTTACTGTTGAATGAAGTTACTGTATTATATCCTACATCCCAAGATATGAGTGGCTCCAGCCCCCCCTCCCCCCCCCACACACACACAAACAAACCACACAATACCAGGCACAGATGGCATTACATTATTAATACATTAAAGTGGGTCGCTGGGCGACATTAATCCTTTTTTTTTCAAAAAAAAACTTCCACACAGAAATTCCCCCAAATCTTCCAACAGTAAAAGCCAATTTTCCAAATCACCCTCATCCGAACTCAGTTGATAGGACACTAAATTTAACCCTCACCCCCTCCCTGTCCCGCTGACTCCCAAACTCAAATATTGGGTAGTAACACATAAATAAAATAAAATAAATACCTTAGAAACTTAACAGAAACTTACAATTGTCAGAGCACTCGGACGCCTTCACTCTCCCGAGTCGCTTCCCCGAGACTCTCACAAGACGTGTCCTGTTTAAGATTATCTTTTTGAGCCCGGGGCCAAATTCCAGTTCAAGCTCTCTTGTCCCCCTTATTCGTAATAAAGATGCAACCACCGCCCACCCCACCGAATGAAAGCAATCAGCAGCGGGAGGAAGCGGCTCGCTACCTGTTCCATGTTTGTGAAAGCAAATCCCCTCCTCCCTCTCGAAAACAACACCGAAGCACCCGCCTTGTTGCTGTATTTAACTTCTTATTTATCTTAAATCCCGAGTTCTGATCCCATGATGAGGAAGCTGTTGTAGGGAGGTTGCCCACTTCACACTCACTCACTCACCCACTCACCCACTCATTCACACACTCACTCACCCACCCACTCATTCACTCTCACACATTCATACACTCACTCACACACTCACACTCGTTCACACACATTCATTCACTCACTCACACCCTCTCTCACACACACACACTGGCAGGTTCACTCACACTCATTCTTTCACTCACTCACACTCGTTCACACACATTCACTCACACTCTTTCTCTCTCACACACACACGTTCACACTCATTCTTTCACTCATTCACACACTGACTCACTCACTCACCTGTAGCAGCTCTCACCTCCTTACCTGGTGGCCACTTGGATACAATCAGCTGATTCTGGTCAATTCCAACACCATGTGTTTCCCTGTTGCTATAGCTCCACAGAAACACAAGTGGCTTCTCGTTCACCCCATCCATCTCTTTTCTTGTGAACCAAACTCCTTTTGTTGTGTGTGTGTGTGTGTGTGTGAAAATGAGAGAGAGAGAGACAGTCAGTCAGTGAGGAGGATTTAGTCTCGTTGGGTGATTTAAAGAAGTTGAAGATGAATATTTTGTAAAACAAAATCCAGGGACACACACACACACACACACATAGATAGATATATAATAAAAAAATGAACTCACCATAATTCTTGATGCTGGCCGTTCCTTGGAGAATTCAAAGCCACTGCTATCACTCGCTCTGCTTGCTAATGCAATAAATTCAATTGAATACTGAAAGAAAGCCGCAGACACACACACACACACAGACAGAATAGCAAGGACGGCTGAAAATCACCCCTTCTCCCAGGCTGTCATTTACTGTCAATTAAAACTGTCCGGTCGTGTCAACCAAATGACGTCACCCCCTTTCATCTGGAGCTTGAAAAGCCAAGATCCATTTAAGCGGAGTTTGGATTTGAATATTAAAACCCTCATTTAAACAACCACCCTCACGCTCAATGCCAACTGAAAGCCACAAACTTGTTGGCGAGATTAAAATGCTTCAATAAATTCTCCCCCAAATATGCACAGAAACACCACTTCACCGCAGATCCCGTGAAGCACTTTGAGATGTCTCGATGAGGTGATAAGGCGCTACATCAAGTGCATTACGGGTACATTATTAATAATGCATTATCATTATTATAATACAAACAGTCCTTGAGCTTTGTTTGTTTTGGCGCCCCTTTCAATTCTATTCCAAACGTTTTGTATTGAAACGTCATTCATTTTTAATGCAAAAAAAAACCTCACTGAAATATGATACAAAAACAGTGCTCTCATTCGCACAAGGGGGAGAAAGAATATTTTTCCCGTTATTGTTTCTGAACAACCGGGAAAAAAGCAAACTGTACAGTGTTCCAAATAGATATTTCACACGGATGAATAACCGAGGGCCTGAGACCCACCATTTACTGGTCAACAAAGAATAGGGTCGAACTAGGTTGAACCTCCAGCCAAGGGTTTGATATGGTACAAGTGAAGTGAGTTCCTTGAGACACTGAAACGGTCAGGTCACTGGAGATATCGAAATGACCGTTTGTCAGCTTGATGGATGTCCTGGAGTGAGAGGTGACATCTTTATCATTGTTGCTCAGCCAACGGATGCTTCCAAGAGGAAACCCACCTTCCGTGTAGCAGGTGAGCAGTACGTTGCTGTGCTCCTGAACTTCCGGGTCAGTGGAATACTTGATGGTTGGTTTGCTGTAAGGCGAAGCCACTCGAAGCTCCAGAAAAGCCTCGCCCATCAACTCGTTGCCTTTCTTGACCCTGCAGATGTAGTCCCCCATGTCATCGATCGAAACGTTCGCCAGCTTCAGGTCTGCTGATCCGCGAAGGAAGTTCTCCCAGGAAAGCGAAGCTCTCCCTGCGAACATTGGGTCTTGTTCCTCCAAGTGTTGCTTCTCATTCACAAAGGAGTAGGCCAAGCGTTCGGTCATATTGAGGTCCCTGTTCACCCAGTAAAACCCCAGCTCAGCAATGGTGACCGGGTCATTGCTGGGAATGTCGATATCGCAGATGAGGAGCACACTTTTCCCGCGTATTCCCAGTATATCCTTGATTGGGGTCTGCACGGTGATCCCGGGCACAGGGACCACCCAATCCACTAGTAGATTTTCAATGTACTTGTTCCATATGCTACAGGTGTACCTCACCCCTCTCTTGGCTTTGACCATCACAGAAGTCCTCACCAGGATTTTGTGATCGATTGAGTTTCCCATCATGATGTTGGCCTTGTGGGTGATGTCGTTTCCAGCAGCGAGCCATTGGACAAGGGGCTTGGGAAACCCTGTGCCTGCCTGGCATGTTATTTGGATGTGGTCCCCTTCCACTGGCTTCTCTGGCTCGAAGCCCATGACAATCTTGCTGAATGGGACGCATACAAAGAAGGTGAACGCACGCCGTTTTATCCCGTTCACGTAGCAAATGTATTTGCCCGTGTCTTCGATGGCGGTCGAGTCAATGTTCAAGATGGAGACGGTGGAGTTGAGAAAGCTGCCATGCAACCTTGGCTTGATCCTTTCGCTCAGGTATTGGACTGTTTCTTCGTTGGGACTGATGGAGTGGTGGAGAACCCTCTCCATGCCCTCGTTGCCAAAGCTACGCTCCCATTCGATTTCGAAGACTCCTGTAGCTGACTTAACCTGACTGAAATCACAAGCTGCT